GTATGAAGTTCGTACTCCCCTTACGCATTGCCAGCCCGGGCCGGGTCCGCGTAAGAGGAGTAGGTTTTCGCGTAAGGACAGTATGAACGCTAGCGCCGCTAGCGTACATACTCCCCTTACGCATTTACATACTCCCCTTACGCATTCTCAGCCCGGGCCGGCTCCGCGTAAGGGGAGTATGAAGTTCGTACTCCCCTTACGCATTTACGCTGGTACAAACGCTACTTTCCAGAGACACTAGACCTTGGAGTAGTCAGAGAATACAATCCAACGCTCTTGCTTCCGGAGTCTGGCTCACAGGCACATACGTTGATTAGTCAGTGTCAGTTACTACTGTAACAGCAGCCAATCTCACTGATAGAAAAGACATAAGCAAGTCAGCATAAGTATCATTAGCAATTCATTGTGACATTTTCGGAAATGAACTCAGACTCGCCGCCTTAGACCATGTTGTCCAAGTTGGCAACTAGAAAAAAAAACATGTCTGATGGTCTGACCTCGGGCAGCAAGCAGTCTGATGGTCTGACCTCGGGCAGAAAGTCTGATGGCCTGACCTTGGGCAGCAAACCAAAAAAATCAGCAGAAATGAAAAAACATTTCGATCGCATTCTCAATTTGGCCGAAGAATCGACCTGGAAGAGGTAAACTTCGTGTGGGGAGCGACTGTGCAGGAATGGGATCCGATTTAGCGGCTCTTACTTTGTTTGGGTTTCGCGAGCAAATCGAAACTTCAATGTGGTCCGATAGTGATCCCGACAAGAGGAAACTATATCGCCATGTTTGCTCCCTGTTAGATCTCGACGTTTCTCCCGTGTGCAAAGATATGTCAAAGAGGAATGCCGCAACAGCCCCATCATGTGATGTCTATGTGGCTGCACTTTCTTGAGCTGAATAGCCAGACCACAAGTCTCCCAATTGTGCTTGACCAACGTCAGATAGTATTTGACGAGTCTCTCTGGCCGCCAAGAGGTGATTAAAGATTTCTGAATATGGAACCAGGAATCCTTGGGATTTTTCTTCGCTTTTATGATTGGCCGAGGCACAAGAAATTGTAGCCTTTTAGTTGTTTTTCCGGGAGGCGCGGGCATGGTTCCGTATTGCTGGGCTTGAAGCTGAAAAAACTGCTTGAATGCCCCGACCCAAAACCAATGGTAAAATTTAGGTACAAACTGGTGTTTCAGAAACCAAATGCACTAACATAGTTCCTTGTTGTTTAGTTAAGGGGGTCTTACAACCTTCAATAGAACCCCTCCCTCCAAAACAAAAGATAATATAGCACGCATACCATCGCACAATCCAGCCAAACCCGTTGGAAGAAATGTTGCATAGGGAAACACGTCAAAACACATCTGTTTTTTTGGAGTCCGTAAGTGGCAGGCATCTCGGCATTCCAGTGTTTGGTGGTGTGGGTGGTGGCCCTTCTTCTGTCTACTTGTAATGCACATAGAACATGATGCACGGCGGTCTGACCCCATGTGTCAACCATGATGAAGGTTCCCCTAATAATTTCCCTTTTACTACCAGTCTGCCACAGGGGGACATGATTGATGTCCAAGGAACTAAGTCTCCGCAGATTGCACGCGGCTCCGCAATGAATGGCTCCGCTCGTCAACGTCCCCTCCAACACTGGCACAAGAGTGACGAGATCTCTCATGCCAGTGTTGGAGGGAACGTTACGTTCAACCATAGCCAGTGTTGACTCCAAGGCGCTCCTACTGTCGATTTCGAATGCAGGAGTCGGGTCAGACCACAACACTGGCCAGCAAGTGTTCCCTGCAGCGTGTTGGAGGGAACGGCACGTCCAACCATAGGGTGACCCATCCTATGGTTGAACGTGCCGTTCCCTCCACACTGGCAGCAAGTAGTTCCCTGCAGCAGTGGCAGGCGTCTCGGTCGACTGAGACGCCTGCCACTGCTGGAGGGAACAGCATCCGTTCAAATTCCATCATGGGTGAAGTTGCTATGGACAAGACCTTGCAAAGCGAATCGCTCGACGAGATTTTGCGGAGCAGCTGCACCCATGCTGAGATTTCAATGAAACGGCGGCAGCCACTGCAGGCGGAACCGTTGTCTCAACAGTTCCACCTGCAGTGGCAGCCACAGGTCCTGAGTTGTGCAGGTGAGGGGATTTTGGAGACCATCAACATGCATTATTATCGATTCCCCCGTGTTAACCAAGAGGGATTTGAAGGCCCACCATCCTTCACCTCCAGAGTTTTGATTGCAAGCTGAGTTTCATCATCAGAAACCGGAGCGCCAACTGTAGAATGTAGACACCAGCAGGCACAAGAAACTTCTTGTGCCTGCTGGTGCCCACAGGTCCCAGGTGTCCTGCAGGGCGAAACCGGGGAAGGGTAATGATCTAAACATTGTGGCGGCAGTGGGAACAAGGGCATCAAAACGAATTGATGAAATCCATCAAAATAGTGTGGTTAAGAAGCGCTTCATCAAGTTATCCTGGGGCATACGACTCTTGATCAAAAATCAATGGTGTTTACATATGTTCTCTGTGGTTCCCTTGCCCGATGATGAGGTTGGCACAAGTAAAACATTGAGGGCGTCCCCATCTAGGGTAGATCCATTAAAAGATACACCGGGTTCAAAAACTAGACACTATTCAACAGTGATGCTGGCCAGGAAAATGTTTCAAAAACAATGGAACAATTGGCTAAATACTAGCACTTCAGAAACAATATCCAGTGAAATTTCGGTGAAGCAGTGGTTAAAGAGTTCAGACCACCTTCATCTTGGGTAATATCATCCAAGATAAATCGTACAAAGATAGATCTAGCTCCAACAAAGGGATGCATATATACTCAACACCCAGTTGGTGATTTTTTGGATCGCCCTGCCCCCCTCCCCAGTTACATTTCTGACTGACAGAAGGTAATGGGATTAAACACTGCAATTTCTTCACAGAGGGGTCGGAAGGTCAGACCACCTTCCATTGGTTTGTTTGAATTTGTCTTCCTTCCAGGCTGGCTGCCAAACAAAAAATGGTGAAATTGGCAGCTCTCCCTGGTTTCATTGCTTTGATCGCTTAGCATGTCGGCACCTGTCAAAAAAACTCCAGCATTCCAGGTAGTGAGGTCAAACCACCTCCTCTTCAAAAAATCAAAAATAAACATTGTTTGATGGTTTAGCCTGTTGAAAAAATAAAACAATCCAGTCAGTGAAAGGGGTCAGACCACCTCCCTGCTGGCCATGCCAAAATTCTACAGTTTGGTTCCACAGCGCTGCCACTGGTGGCAACAAAATAATAAACAATCCAAAATAAAATGATCCAGTCAGTGAACAGGGTGAGACACTTCCCCTGCTGCCCAATCCATGCCAAAAAATTGAAACATCATGTGTTTTACATGGTTTGATTGTTTGATTTGTTGAAAAAAATTAGTCAGCGAGAGGGGTCGCCTCCCCTGCTGGCCATGCTGCAGAGAATTCTACAGCTTGGTTCCACAGCGCTGCCACTTGTGGCAACAAAAAAACAATCGAAAAGAACTGAGAGGGGTCAGACCACCTCCCCTGTTCCGTGCCAAAAATGTTTGAAATGTTGTGTTTGACATGGTTTATGGTTTGATGGTTTCATGCCATGCCATGTTGAAAATTTTAAGGTTGCATTACCCCAAGGTTACATTACATTATGTTATCATGTTACCCCTGGTCACATCCAGCCCAGTCCCAACCATCCCTTCCCAATTCCCTTCCTACTTTTTCCTTGCCCTACCGCACCAATTTGGAAATTTTGCCGAAATTGGTTTTGAGCCATCTAGTTACCAATCCCATCTTACCCATTTTTTTTCCCAGCCCCAGTGTGGGTAATTTTGCCCACACTGGTCTTGAGCCAACTACATTACATCCCTTCCTCCCCTTTTTTTTTTGAAAGCTGGGAAGTCAAAGTCTTGAGCCATTTTGAGCCAACGTGTTCTTGAGCCAAATGTGTTTTGCAATCATGGGTTGGCAGATACATCGGAATGGCTGCTGCTCTGGCCGTGGGATCCAAAGTTAGATAACTTCAGGATCGGAGAACACACGTTTTCCGAAGGTGCAGGTGGCCTAAAACCAAAAACGGTCTATCGGTCTACATTTAACATCGGCAAGTAACACGACACGTCTAAAGTGCTGCGACTACCACGCAAAATGAACATGGAGGTCTCCGGTCCAAAGTGCTGCGCCTGCCACGAAAATGCAACTAATCTTCTGACAACGACGCAAAAGTATTGCGCCTGTCACGCAGAACGACTTTTGACACGTGATGAAACATGTTGCAATGTAGCTAAGTGCCACGCCTGCCACACGAAACGAGGTGACACGACATTTGAAACCTCCAAAAGTGACCACTTTTGCAGTCCCCAGAGGCATGGCCATAACATAGCGGCCTCATACGAACGGCGGCAAACGGTTGCGAACGGCTGCGTACGGTTGCCAACGGTTCCGCAACGTCTATAGGGAACACACCCTCAACCCCCAAACCCGCAGAGAACCCTTGCTACACATTCGGGAAAAAGGTCATGAACTCAATCGGTCTCGGTCTTTGTGCACTCAAATTGTCCTGCGTTCATGCAGTGCCAGTGCAATGTGCAACAGCGATAGAAGCTAAGCTTGCTGCAACCTGCCTCAAAACATGCTCTCAAAACATGCTCCACGCATTCCAATCGAATACAAATTCACAAGACACTTGTGGGGAAATCAATGGCTCTGAAAATATCTCCATCCTGCGGTGCTGGTTGCAGTGGAAGCAACAATTCATGGTGGCCCACGAAACTCTCACATTGCAATTGCTCATTCGCAATGGACGCACATGGTGGTGACCATGCTGGTGATGTAAAGAGATGTCATCACATGCCTGCTTTGTTACTTGCGTGTGCTTTGTCTCAATAGAAAGCGCAATCCGTTCACTCCATCTACTGCAAGATTTGCCACTATGTGCTGAGGTTCAACCAAACCATCAAATCCGAGTGGACGGACCACTGAGAAAAGTAGAGAAGGTAGAAACATTGTATCTTGAATTGGGAGACACGCGGGAGCAAATTGAATCCGGAGAACCGGGACGAATGGTGTGCAATCCAAAAACATTCGGGCCACCTGAGTTCGCGGATACTGGGGCAAAGCAAAACTCAATCACATGCATTTCTAGCAAGATAATCGTGATCAAGTTACAACAGCATATCCAGCTCACTGCTTTCCCCGGCAGTAAAACATCCAAGACCAATGATGCACGCCCACCCATCGGAGTAATTTTTCAATCTCTTTCCATCTCTTTCCACAGTGCTACTCATCGGTCACAATGCTGTCGCTGGAAGCCTACTGTGCAGCACGGCGCGCTACAGCCTTCCGCTCAGAAGGTATGAAAACATGCAAACAATGAACGCAACAAAGATCAAAAAGGGATCTAATACTGCGCTCAAAACGGAGCTGCTGCCTGTCGGGTAAAGATCTCACGCCATGAGGTCTGTCCCACAAGAGACAGCCTTCTTGTCTCGGCAAGCGGTAGGCAATTTGTCGTCCCCATAATTCACTGCTGCGCAGCTGGCCTTGCTTCCCAGCTTTAAATCGATTTGATCGAGAACTCGGTGGTCGCACTTGTCCCAGGTGCATTTCAGCACCAAACAGCCTTCTGACATTTCGATGCTCTTTGGGACATCGCCGGCAGGGTTCAGAAACACGACAAGGCGCAGGTTGTTGCTGGCCGTCACGGACACCCCCCTGCAAGACCGAATGCCGCACAAAAGCGTGAGAGGCACCTTGAACTGCGGGGAGAAGAATGCCATTGAACTGCCACCGCATGTGTCAGGATTGTCTGGCCCACTGACGGTGTCACAAACCATGTGGGTCAATTTCGTAAAGCTGGATTGGCGACAAGCGCCATTGACACAATAAATATATGGCCCAAGTCTGGAACCAGTGGCCAACTCAAAAGTAGAGTTCGAGCATGAGTTGTCGCCGCAATTTAGTCGCCCATCATCAACCCTGGTACCTTTAGTATTAACGGTCTTCTTGCATCCGTTGCAGGAGTCTCTGTCCCCACAGTCGGGCCAGTTAGCGCAAGCTGGAGCGTGGCAAGTTCCAGCAACGCAATACCCGTGGGAGCAAGACATTTGACACTTCTCATCACACGTAAGTCCAATGCATTGCCCAGCAGCGCAACCCTGACAAGAGTCACACGTAAAGTCGTGACCCTGGTGATGGCATGTCTTAGGAATCCCTGCCCGCTGGACTTGAAGTTGGGCAAGAGACGAACCCTCGCAATCTTCACCTTGGCAATCAAGGCCCAAGGTGGAAGCGGCCCATGTGATTGCAAGGAGCTTGAACATGGCCATGGCCAGGGGTCAGCTTTGGGCAGGCTCGGGGCAAGCTCGGGGCATGCGTGCTAGGGAACCTGAAACCAAATTCACTTCAGCCAGTGGCATGCTTGGCGCATTGCGGTGAAAGAGCACAACGAAAACAACTCTCCAATTAATCACATCGAGTAATTGCGGCGAAAAAACAAATCAAAAACGCACATCCATACTCTGCCTCTTGCAGCCCTGATTTTCCATGACTCCACATCACTGCTCAGCACTACGCCACGCATCCCCCTGGTCGGCAGCATTCGGCAGCCATGTCAGATACGTCAGTTGTCTTTGCAAAACAAACTTGGCTCAGCTGACAAAATCGCCCAGCTAGTTTGATCATCAGTTTGGTCACAGGTTGCCATCGCAGGATGGGACGCAGTGCACAAAACGGCTGCAGACTTGCGCCAACGCGCTCGTGGTCAGCAGGTGTTAGGTAGCCACAACCTGCATCAAGGAAAAGCAGAAAAGCTGAGACGTTGGGCGAAGCGTCAAAAAGACTACATGCATCTACGAGCTCGCAATCTGTTCATCTTGTCCTATTGGTTGGGATTTTTTTATGGATGATTCATTGTTTTTCCTGAGAGCGTCTGAGCGAAGGGTTCTTCTAGGAGGTCTGCTATACATCTTCATATGTTCACATCTTCATCACATCTTCTCATCTTCACATCTTCTCATCTTCACATCTTCACATCTTCTCATCTTCTCATCTTCACATCTTCACTCTCTCTCCCCTTTCGCACGAAATGTGGTTCGAGTGTCAACCCTTTCGCACGAAACGAGGTTCGTGTCAAAAACTGATGTAAAATTGCGATTTTACATCCTCGGCGGCAACCCTTTCAAATTGCGATTTTGGATCCTTGGCCGCTTTCCACATGTCATTGCACAGAAGGTTGGCTCAATGGATGAGATGGGCTGTTAGATTTTTTTATATTTTACTTTTCCAAAGAAGATTCTAAAGGCCCCCAAAACAGAAGTGTGTTCACCTGAGGCTCCCTGCGTGAGAGAATACATACGTCAAGCGTCGCCTAAGTTGCTCAAGCACAGAAGCACATGTTAACTGTTTACCAAAATTTAACCAAAATTTAACCAAGCAAAAACAACACCCCTGAGATGACGATCCATCTTCTGAGGAGGGCACGCGTAAAAGCATCTGGTCCGCTCCGCTTTCCGTTGACATTACAGCTGCCATGGAATGCGCTATGTGATGATTTGGGGTTTTGAAAGCTTTTGGCGAGGTTGAACTGGGATTGACGCATTTTATACAGGCACCATCTTTGAAGAGATAGGATCAATGGATTTTTCTTTGGCTGTAGGGCTTCTCGCCACATCTCGCCACAACATTTTTTGAAGCATATCATACGGCTGTGGCATGCAACCACAAAGAAGATAGACGAAGTAAAATGCATGCTTGCTTTGCAACCAAACATCCTCAAGATCGGCTCAACGTAGGAAAAAAATGAGATCGAAATGAGCTCAAAATGGGATGAAAAGGCACAAAGATGAAGGCCAGATCAACAGATGCAATTTCAGCCCAAGATAGCACCAACATTGGTTGAACATAGGGTCAGAAGCTTCAACATGCATGTAAGTATGTGCCTCTGGATTTGGCGCAAGCTGATCAGAGGGCCCTACCCTCCGGGTTGAAGCTTATAACAAACCTACAACAAACAAGCTATACCGGCTATACCTCTGTCTTGTTGCTGTGCAACGGATTGGGTCATTTGCCACACTTGACATGAAACAGACTTAATTAGATGAAGCGAAGAGTGGATCTGCCCAGCCAAATCGGAGCATCGAACATGGAACAACTGTTGCATAGGACGGTGCAGCTTGAAACTTTTTCGCCTTGATGGAGCCCTTCAAGGATCAATTTGATCAATGCAAGCGCCGGAAGTGCATTTGAATATGCAGCGAATTGACATCTGAATTGGGAAAAGCCGCTCTGCGGTCGCATGTTCAGAATCTCAAGGGTCTGACTTTGTCCTCGAACAGAAACAGTTGTTTCTTATCACCATCTATACTTATTCTACTTCAAAGGGCACGACAAGGGACATTTTGGTCTCCTGCTCTGATAGATCTTTTTGGCCTCCATATACAGCTCCTTTCCCTCCTTGCTCCTTCAGTTGCAACATGCTGCAACCGCAACATGTAGTAATGTAGTATAGGGATGTATAGGGAGTATACGGGCTCTCCATCAGCTACGACAGATGAGCATGTGGCTTGGCATGGGGAGCCTTGGCTAAACCGATCTTGCGATGTGATGGAAGACTTCCCGCCTGCCACCAATGGGTCGAAACCCGAGAATGGACAGCTTTGACCTGCGTGGGAAATGCAGCGCCGCTGCAAGGAGACATCACGCAGTGACATATTGCATCCTAAGACTCACAACCCGCCTCGTTAAGACAGTGGACTCTTTCAATTGATACGGGTAGCACAAGGTGCCAGAAGAATCATAGTCTGTTCGGATTGGTTCCACATTATCTCAAGTCCCACCAAGCAACTGCCGCATGCCTTTCTCATTGCATGCTATGGGTCTCATGTCAATGTGTTCCTAGCCTGGCTGATTGAACAGCATCAACCCAGGATGACAAATAACGAGAGAACATCTTCCTGCGCAGCAGCGGTGCAAGCGAGCACTTTGCTAAGGAAGAAAAGGAAAGGTCAAAACACTCACGAGCTCAAACTAAAACTGGGACCAATGTCCTGGCAAGAAGAATGATCCTCTAACAGAATGTGTTATAGATTATATATAGACATTATAGACAGTTATCCGACAGTTGTCCAGAACAGGCAACTGTCATCTCAGGATGCAACAGGCCGCGTTCATGCTGTTTCTTGGATACGATCTTGCCATGCCTCAGACTTGCCAAGTGCACTGCCACCACATGTGACATATTTTGACATCAAAAACGTCGCAATAATTATTCAATATATGTACGATTTTGTCAAATGTAGTCCCTGCTGGGGCACTTGTTCACCATCAAATCGTCCTGGCGAGGCACAGACCCAACATGCTCATGGGAATTGTCTGGAACCCTGGCCCTGAAAGTCCGATTCTGCGAAACGTCGCATTCAAATCATTTATTGCCGATTGTCATTGATTCTCCACGTGCATTTCGCTCTGCTTGGTGCAGCTCATAGACAGCAGCCGTACATTCAGTCAAGACACAATATTAAGACACCAATTAGGCTCAGTATGGCTCAGTTAGGTTCTTGAATCACTGAAACAGGCCACATCCCTTCTGCAATTAGTCGTTTCCAACATAGTTTGGCTTGCAGAATAAAAGTCGCTTGTACCGGTCCGGTTTCAATCACTTTGATGCCGCTTGATGAGGCAATTGCTGAACATCTTCAAGCAAAGATGTGTTCTTGGCACCCAAAATGTGCAAAGCATATCAATGCCAACTTCCAGCCCGTACTACGAGCATACCATGAGCCGTGAGCCCCAACAGGTTCAGTTTTAAAGGTTTTCAGTAGCGGATTCTCGGATTCTCAGATTCTCCTTGGTGAGGCCTCCGCTGGTCTTCTCTCGCAAGCCTTTCATGACTTGACGTCTGACCTCGCAGTTTGCTCCAAAGCATCTTGCTCTTTGTCGGTGTCTGGCTTTTGTTTGTGGAATACATAGAAAACTCGAGATAAACTTGTGAAAGGGCTGGCAATGAGACTCAGGTGTCATCAACTTTCCGCAGGTGAACGTATCTAGACATATCTGGATGTCAGCCCACTTCCCGTGAATCATTGGCTGATTCCCCAGTAGCCCTTCTGTTTTGTGTGCTGGACTGAAAGGAGCCTCAAACAAACCAAAATCTAAACACGTCATGGAAAAGAGGACTTAACGGGAATCTGAGAGAAATCTCTTGGTCGAACCCTGTGCAAAGAAATCGGGCCATCTATGGGCATCTCATGCAGACACGGAAAAACAGAGTTGCCTTCATCACTTCGCGTCGACGTGCAGCTTCCTCTGAAAGAATTTTGAGTCTCTCCTGGCTGTCCTGGAACGATCGCCAAAATTTGGAACGCGCGGGAGAGCAGGCCAGAGCGATGTACACAGATGGCAAGGATGAAAACAACGCACTCTGTGTAGAAGGCAAGTCTTTGTTCAAAACATTCAATTCGAAACATGCAAGAAATATATAATATATCATGTAGGAATGATCAGTTTATGCAAACCCTGCTGAAGGCATTGTATTGAGTTCATACTACACCAACGCAACAACCCAGTCGTGTCACTGTGGAGCCTCAGCATCTTTCCTCAGGGCCTCTGTGGATGGCTGTGCAACTTTTGGCAAGTGACAATACCAATGAGATTGTCACAGTGTTTGGCAAGTGTTTTACGTGTTTTACAAGCATCGACAGGGTTGACACTGCACTTATCAGTCTCTTAAGTGTTTCACTGCTTCGTCCACAGGTTGCTTGGCAATTTCGATCTCACTATCTGTCAGTGGCTCCTGCACGTGGCATGGCACCGCTGTGTCAATGTCGTGACTTTGGCTCCAAGGCGATAGCTTTGGCTTGTTTTTTGTCAATGTCTTTGACGCAAAGCGGCTCACAGTTGCAGCAATTAACTTCCCCCATCCTCAGGCACATCAAGGATAGAGACACCAGCCATCAAGCGCGTAGCTGCACCCTTTCGGCTGGAGGAAGACGCTGTTGTCTCTGCCTCTCGTGAGGCCTGGCTGGCAGGGAGACAAAGGGACTGCATCTTTCTGTGGTGCAAACTTCAACCATAAAGTGTGGCCAAAAGCCGTAACTGGAGCAAGTCTGCGCAAGGTTCAAATAGAAAAATCACTTTAGGTTTGTTGCTGAAGCTGACCTTTCCTTTCTGAAGCGTTAGGTCCAAAGTTATTTTGATGCTGGCAGGCACAAGAGCCAATCAAACATAGCAGGACCAGTTCCAGAAAATGGAAATCTGCTGAAGAAACCAAACGCATCTCCGATATCAAAACGTCTTGCCTCCACCCGAAGATCTTCTTGGACGACTGGGTCTTGGATTGCGTCCTCGCACGGGAACTTGGAAACCTCCCGAGCAATGCTCTGACCTTGCAGCGTGTCCTGCAGCGTGTCCTGCAGCACATCTTGAGTCTCATCCACTGCATCCTTTTCCTCTGCGTTTTCCTTGGCTTCCCAGGATACTGAAAGCAGCCAACGAATCCAAACCATGTGACACTTTTGTCGCAGGACAAGGTGGGGCCCGACCTTTCTGTCAGAGTTCAAACATCGTCATGGGCTACTGGATGAACTGGATGAACTGGATGAACTGGATGAACATAGAAGTGTTTGATGTGTGCTGCAAACAGCGACCTGAGAATCCCACCTGCTCTTTAGGGGCTTCCCAACTTGTCTCACCTGTAGCCTGTGCCGATGCGTTGCTCAGCTGTTGGACATCCACACAGCTCCTGAGTCCAACTGAGTCCAACACTCGAAGCTCTACAGACTTTACATTCCATTGAGTCCATTGTGAAATCATTGTGAAATGTGCTGCCTGGTTGTAGTAGTAGAATTGCCCCGTCGAAGGATCCTCAACTTGCCTTTGAAGTTGCTAAAACTTCCACAGTGCGATGCGAGAGCATGCTTCACTTCAAAAACTTGGACCTCCAAGGGCTGCTTCCTGGACGCTCCCAGCCTCTCAAGTGAATCTCCCACGTTTTTTGGGTTGCAAGGTTGAACGATGACAAATATTGACAACGTGCATTTTTTTTTCGCAAGCCCTATCTTCGGTTCTACCGCAAGAAAGAAAAGTTGGAAAGTGGATAGGACGGGGCCATGAAGAGAGAATCGTGAACTACTCTGAATACGTGGCAACCAACACGTTGCACTTGCTCTTGTTTGAAAGGCTTAGAAGCTGTGCGGAGGAGGACATACCAAGTGAAGAATCTGAGAACAAGTCAGACCAGACATGACGCTAACAAGAGAGCAAAAGTGCAAGAGAATGCATCTGTCAAAAACATCTGGTATGAATTGTAAGTCTTGAGGCAAATACTTGTCTCACCAGTGTCTTCATTGTAGTAGTACCTGGCATATCAATTTGTTTCAAGAACTCTGAAGGAACAAACGGGCATCACACAGCTGAGCACTGGGAGGTTCAGTGGCTTGGATTGGTTTGATGTTGCAGTGACTGCATTGCAGTTGATGCATTTTGATATATTTTGATGCAGTCTTCAAACATTTTGGAGATTCTTCAAATTTCTTCAAGGACCTTCAAACATGCCTTGGTGGAGCCACTGTCCGGGCTCTGAGGGGTGCGCCACCTGCACGAAGGGGCCGCAAAGGCAGGCGCGGACGGTGATTTGATGTGGCTCTGGATGTCACACGTCGTCCACGTCGTCCAAGCTGCTGGCAATTCGCCAAGGTGGAGGAAGATCATCTGCAGTTCGAATGCACATAATACACAGGACACAGAATTCAATTGATTTGATTAATCTCCACAGCACTTCTTCTAACAATGGTTCTTGCGTCTGAGGCTATCTCTTTCTTGATCACGTCTCGCCTGCACGCTTTAGCTTCAAAGAAATGGTTGCGGATAGTCTGTGCAAGTCTCGTTGCAAAGCTCAGATTTGGCCAATTATAATTCCTCAAGAACAGAGGCGAACAGAAAAACACTGGCCCTCCACAAGGACTGGTGACCTGGTATCTGCCCAACCTTCTTCTCTGCCACTCGCTGACGTACTTTCTCCTGCTGCGCCTTCAAGAATTCAAAGACATCCAGGACACCAAAGACATCCTGCGTGTTTCAGGCTTTCAGAGTTGAAGCTGAGCGCCTTCAGGGTTTCAAATCGATCATGATGGTCGATGTTGGTCTGGGCGTGCAGACAGGCACAAAGCATCAGAAAGCCTCATCGTACATGGTTGTATGATGTTCAGATATGTTGAGATATGTTGAGATGATGCTGCCCTGGTTCCTGTTGGTTCCTGTTGGAAGCTTTTTTACATGTGAAATGTGAAACTGTCAGAAACCCCGTGCCGCGGAGCCTGAGCAGATTGGCGCAGAGCGATTCTTTGATCGCCTCACATCGTGGCCACGAGTGACCAAAGTGATCAAGGTGACCAAAGTGAAAAAAAACAACCAGAGAAGGTGAGAACAACCAGAGAACAACCAGAGAACAACCAGAGAACAACCAGAAAATGGAAGGTGAGATCATAAAACTCCCAGGTTGTCCTGGAGACTGAATATCAGTGATGAGTGGCACTTTGGCAGGCACTTTTTTCGTAGAACATAGCCGTGCTTTATTCAAAGTCTATCAAAACGATGCAACTTGACAACAGCCGACCAAGTCCATGACCATTCCTCACAGCAAAGGCGCAAGCTGCCTTGAGGTCCCACGTGCGCCAAGGGTTCCATGATGTTGCATGAATGATAATCAAATCGAATCAAATCCCGAAGGGGTTCCGGACGCAAAATGCTGCCTCAGCCAAATCTCACTAAACCAACAGCGGGACTCCAAGACCAACTGCTCTCTACCGGAAGACCACTCTGCTTAGGATCTGTCTGAGGCTGAGATCTGAAGACCTGGCATGGCACACTCGCACTCAACGCATCTCAAAAACAATGACAGATCTGGTGGATGCAACGTGATCCAAGTCAGTGACACTTAGAAACAGATGGATCCGGGATAAACCCGCTTGAAATTCGATAGTTCCTAACAACAGACACAAAACACACACATGCGCCAAATAAGTCAAATGAATTCAATGTTCAGATCATCTGACACAAATGCAGCATCTTCGTGGCCTTGGACTCTTTGGACTCTTTGGACTCTGGCCGGTGCTCTGTGCGGCAACCTCCGACTTTGCTACGGTGTCAAACCAGAAACATCGCGTCAATTCTTTAATCATTTTAATAGCACAGTGCAACAATGTGCGACATGCAACTTCTGAAGCCTCCTTTCAAACATTTTCAAACACTCCTGTTTCTCCTCACTCTTTTGCCAGCGTTTGACAGCGTTTGCCTTTTCCTCTCCCTGTCTTCTTATCATATCTTTTGCAGGAATGCCTCCTTGATATTCTGCAAGTGACTGTAACGTGAAAAGGAGAATTTTCCACTTGCACAATCTTGCCCAACCAGAAAAAAACAGAATAGTAATTAATCAGAATTAATCACTCAAACAAAGATATATACAGATAGATTTGCATACATGTGTGAAATCCCATTACTAGTCATGATTCATTACAAATTAAGGCGGCTTTTCCTTTGTTCTGGGGGTGGCTATAAGCACAAGAGATTCTTGCGGCAATCTTGGGCTTATTGAAGCTTCCGATGTTGCGAGCTTGTCAATAGTAAAATGCGGGCAACAGAAGTTGTACGAAGTGAGGCCATGGAGCTTGAACTTTTGCAGCGCTGAGGACACTTCAAAACTGCCCAAAAGAAGTACCCCCCATGCCCTGACAAACTGTCGACTGGCGAAGGTGCCTGCAGTTCAGCCGTGTCTCTGGCACCTGCGTGATACTGCGTGACACTGCGTGACACTGCGTGACGACATCCAAGACCTCAGGGACCTCTGGGACCTCACACAGCACTTCAGCATCTCTCAGGCGCAAGCCCCAGCCGCGGTGCTTGACACCATATGGTACGGAAGAAACATTTTCACGATTTCAATGTAAGACATGGAAATGATTAGAATTGATTAGATAGGACTGGTGCTCAAAATGAATCTGATTTCATGATATTTCATGCATGTTTGAAGCTCTGAAACAAAACACAAACCTGTCACTGCGGGTCATGGTCTTTAAAAGCCAAACTGAGCACTTCATGAAGCAGCCAAATCAGCCGAAGCAGCCTCAAATCAAATCTACTTTAAATTGCGCAGCTGCGTAGGTCTTACAAGTTTTGCTCCCACCCCCAACTTGCTTGGTGAGCTATCTATCAGCATCCTGCCAAAGGGACTTTTCAAAGAAGTCCCTTGGAACTCCTCTTTGCAGTGCGACAACCCCAACTTGGGTACTTCAAAGAATGAGACATGAAATAATGCGGCAAACTTATTTCAGCTTGCAGTGTGGAGACGCTCAAAAAATTGACAACATGTTGTCACATAAAAAGTTGGCATCTCCAACCGTTCGCACTGACACAAAGAGTGGATGCGATCTGTCTGCAAATTGAATTGATGCTTCAGGATAATTCTTATTTTCAGAAACCTATTCAACTGTTCCTGAAGGAGTCTTGAGATATCCTGCATCAATCTGCCGCGGCAAATTTGTGCAAATCTGACTCAATCTTCGCACAGCTAATCAAGTGGCACGAGCAAAGTCTGATCGTGCATCCATTGCGCTCAGGATGGCATACCTCCAGAGCAACGCGCAAATAGCCGAAACCTTTAGAATGACATTTCATGGAACTAATCATTCCAGTGCACTCAGCTCTCCGATGGAGTCAACGCTCCCTTCACTCCTGATTGATTGCGATCTTTGATCGTGCTAGAAACTCATCTTTTTTTACCACTTCCAGCACTATGTTGAGAAATGTCTCAACCTATAAAAAGTTGCACAAAACAGAGCCCGGAAGGTAGCTCTTGGAGCTCGAGCTGAAGGTGTGAAAATATGAGAAAACGCTAAGCCCGAGCAGCTTGAGCTTGAAAACTCCGTGAATTCGTTTGGAAACTCAGAGCCAAAAGCACGAGAATTCCATGCCACTTAGGCCGCTTGGGGCTCCGAAAGCTTCTTGAAGATTGCCGAACAAGTTCTCGACCTCTTGCAGCTCCAAGTCCTTTGAGCATAGCATTCAATAGCATTCAAATAGAACAATAAATAAATGAATGTATATATTTATGTACATTGCATATATTATCATATATTGCATGTACTACATACATATTCAGTGTCCGTCTTGCACGGCTCTCCTGATGTCAAACAAGCACATGAAGCACATGGAACAGAACAAGTTGGTCAGAAGGCACCACAAATCATCTTTAGAATCTAAGGCTCTGTGTTGATGATGGCCAAACCTGACCCTGTTGTGGCAGCACGCTTTGGCCCAAGATCTGAGGGGACAAGCTCTGCAATTAAGATGCGACAATGGACGTCCAACTTCAGGATCTGCAGCTTCAAATCCTTGTTAAATATCAAACGCATAACATGAAAAGCACATTCAGCTGTCCTATAGTTCTCCTGTGATCTTCTGTCATTGTTACCTCTGTTCGTCTTCTCCTTTCTGCTACTCCAGTTTCATCCTTTAAACTCCAAAGCATCACAAAGCATCACAAAGCATCACAAAGCATCACAAAGCATCACAAAGCATCACAAAGCATCACAAAGCATCACAAAGCATCACAAAGCATCACAATACATTATATATATATATGGTTGTTGATCAAAATTCCTTTATCCCGGAACGGCCATTCTTCGCGAATAAAAAATTTACTTTCGCGAAACTTTCGCGAACTCCATGTTTATCTTTCGCGGGGCCCATGTTGGCCAACAACACCTCTTATGAAGATTCGTTCACCACCTGCCAAATTACGCCAGAGAATCACGGATCACTTCTTGGTAGCCTTTTAAACATGCAGCTAGCATCACGGAATCCCTTCTCAGGACAGATTTGTTTTGCAAAGTTTACTGGCCCACCCCCTTCAACATGCACTTTGACTTTCGCCCGCTCTTTCGCATAACTTTCGCGAAAATATCCCTATTCACAGACCCCGGCCATCAGCAGGGGGTGCACTGAAGGAAAAGCGAAGACCAGGGGCCTTGGTGTTTGGCTCTCGCAAAGCCTCACTTTTGGAAACTTGGCTACTGCTACTCGCATTCTCTGGTGCCCTTCTCCTGCCGGACCCCGGGCGGCAGTGGGTGGCAGCCCTTTACATATAATGATTATAATACCCAACTTTCGCGAAACTTTCGCGAAATAAAATTTTACTTTCGCGAACTCAAAAAAAAACTTTCGCGAGGGTTTCCAACATAACATGCACGGCTTTCGCAATTAAAACTTCTTACAAGGACCTTTAGATCGATCGCCATATATATATATATATATGACTGTAGTCAATTTGAAAGCCTTCGAGTCATGCTTGCTTACAAGATCTTCCAAGCATCCTGCAGGCGAAGCTTCATGCTGCGTCTCTGCTGTGGATCTGTACACGGATACCACATTGCGATACAGCTCTCTGGCCACACCTCTTGGAGCCTTGACGAAAAGTGCAGTCACGACAAGACGCTTCGTGATAGATCTACAATGATCTACACAGTTTGTCCAAACTGTTTCCAATCAAACATGCCGAGCCAAACGATAAACTTCACAAAACAGAGCATAGGGAGCAGCACAGTCAAGCAACTCGAGTAACCAAAATAAAAAGCGCAAACACAAGAATGCGATAGAAAGTGTAGAAAGCGCATTCAAATTCTGGCATATTGATGATTCAAAGGTTGAAATTACAATTGGGAAGCTCAAGCATTTGGACAGCAACTTTTGCTTTATTTGGCAGTGCTGACCCAAACAACCGGCTGGTAGCAATCAACAGATGTATCCATCAGTATACCAATAAAGCCATCAATCTCAAGCTGCTCTGCTAAATTCCTGACAAATTCCCGCCAGTCGCTGTCATTGGCTTAGCTCAGATGCAAACTTTTGATTTGAACTCGTGACTCGTGATCTCACAAGTTCAAAGTTGGAGCCAAGAGAGCCAAGAGAGCCAAGTAGATTCAGATCCAAGTTGATCCGAGTAGCATGTGGATTGTGTAAAGATTCCAGGTGAGGTATTCGTTGTATGGCTCGTAGGGTGGATCCATCAGTACAAGTCCAGGACCACCCAGGTGGCCAACCAAAACTTCCTCGGGGCACAAAGCTACGGACAAAAAGCATCAAACCGAATCAAACCTGACACAAAAAGGCCTGAATTGATTGAAACTGTTTGAAAAAGGCCTGGATTGTAGCGTAGGCAAGCCACAGTCACAAGATGATCTTGCAGCCAAAGGTATGAATTCATGTTCATTGTCCTCACTTCATCCTGACCAAAAGTCTGAGGTCGAATGAGGTCGAAACAACTGAGATCGTAGCTCCAGCATCTTTGTTTCACGCATGCGTTTGTGTCCTTGACCTTCAGGCGTCTCAAACTCTGCTGCAGAGCACTGTACACCTGACGGGAAGCTTCGAAGAGGATGGCGCGGTCACGTGGTCGAATGAAGCGGGTCGCCAAGGCCGGGGAGCCAAGGTAGAACCTCCAGCGCCGTGCCGCTGCGCCAAAGCTGCGCCAAAGCTGTGCCAAAGGACAAAATGGACAGAGATATTTTCACGTTTTTTAGGTGCTAAAGTCTGCCACAGCCTGATCAGACGTAACCTGCATCCCAACCCCTGGAATGGCTCTCAGCTGGCACCTTGTCGGACCACGGTTGAAAACTTTCATCTGTGAGAGGTATTGGACAATAGGAGCTGCTCTGATTGTGCTCCTTGAATTTCCGGGCGTTGAACAGTCTTGCGAGTCTTGAAGCATTGTCAATGCCTTCATCTCACATAGAAATCGGCAAGCACGGTATGGATTGGGAATGGATCCGGTTTGTATTTCTCTGCGAACAGAAACAAACAGTTGACATCGTTTGAATGTCCTCTCCAAAGTATGAATGCCATAGAGGAAGTTCTGATACTCGCGTGCAGTGGTTGAGTGCAAGTCATACAAGCCACGTCCTTTCGGGGCAGATCGGATGAACATCAACATCTTCACCAAATGCAAAGAAGCGAAAACTGAGGATCCTTGATACACTTTATATGTCTGGTTCAATGCCTTCAGTCCTGCGTGAGTGTCCACGTAAGTGAAAGGAGTACTCTTTCGTGTAAAATGCTGCAAAAGGAGCACGAGCCTCAGCGATCGGCGGCGAAACCCACCTGCCAGAAGTTGATGAAAACATAATTATTGAGTGATGTTTTTTTGGGGTGATCATAGAGATTGCTCAACCCTGTTACAGAGCAGCACGACAGCAACACTACTTGCAACATGAATACATAGAGAAACACACATGAATACCAACTGAAACAGTCTTGTCGGATCTAATTTTCGGATCTTGTCGGAAGGAATGCTGCGAGAAGACTCTGACAAAACAAGTCGAATGCTGGAAAGGAGCATCGAATGCTTGGCACAGTCCATGATTCCACCGGCCTCAAGCAAGTGAAAACTATTGTCACAGGACTCACAGGACCATCCGCCTCAATGCAGGATCCGGATAAAACGAAATCACTTAAAACAAACATAAACAAACTCAGTACTAAATCTCTGGGCGAACTCAATTGCAGCAATGCCTGCTCAGAATGGTCGTATACTTCGTCAACTGTTGTCCTTAGCAAAGTAGCTTCTGCAGGTATTAGGTATTGCGGTATTGCCGGCGTAAGCAACAACAAAACCCTAGACACCCCTAGACTGTTTCACAGTGGGCTGTTGCCTCTCGGAGTCTCTGAGGCCAGAGCACATACCGCGCTAAGTCTTTCTGAATCGTTGCCCGCAGCAGCTGCAGAGTCTTCTGCCAGCATCCCGCTGCTAACAAGACATCCATGGTACTCCAGTAGGACACCGCATCTGCCTGACACATGAACATCTAAGTCAACTTGTTGCAAAACAAGGGGTCAGAATTTGTAAGACATTTTGCAAGCCTCACGGGACTGTAAGGAAATATGTTCACTTCAAAGTATTTCGCTATCAAGTCTGCCTGATTGCCTGTCGAGGGTATGCTTTGGCTTGTAACATGCTTTTGCAAACGGAGGATTTGAGAAGTGTCTATGTGACACGATGTGACACGATGTGACACTATGTGACACATGCAGTCGCAGGCACATCAGGCACATCAGGCACATCAGGCACATCAGGCAGTGTGGACATGTGTTGACAGAGACGCAGTCTGCCTCAACTCGTCGCGCAGGCAAATCATCGAGCAAGGCCATTGCAGCTTCCCAATTGCTGCCGAAGGCTTTCAAAAAGGAGTTGTAGTAGACGATGTTGGCCTTGACACATCTTGACACATCTTGACACATCTTGACACATCTTGACACATCCTCAGTTGGTTAATCTCAAGCAGAGACTTTGGGGAAGCCATTCTGCATCTTCCTGAGTTAGAAAAATAGCTGAGCGTTTATGTTATCTTTGACAAGACTGTCACTCTTGTTGAAAGGCAGTAGGCGACAGCAACATACACAACTTGTTTCACAACCAGTGTACTGGCTCCATACTGCCTTCCTGCCTGGACTTGTACTTTCTCCATCTCAGTCAACAGCTCAAGCACAAGCAGCCAGTTGCCATCCCTGGCTGCAGTGCTTGCGAGCGCACCAAATGTCACCTGCGTCGGCTGCCAAGACTGTTGCCTCATCTCCTCACAACTTGAGGTGTCGGATGGTGGACTGTCAGACTGTTTAGGACGTGCTTCGAGTGCTTCTGCGCTGGAAATGCAGCAGCACTTGGTGACTGATCGTTATCCATGCTGTCCTGTGCTCTGCAGGCGAAGTTTCTCCCCTTTCAAAGTCAAAGTATGAGAATTAAAAGCCAAAAGCTAGACAACCCACAACCGCTGAACTTAGTTAATCAATTCAATTAATTCAGATGGATGTCTCTAATTTTCCCTACTTTGAGTCGCTGTAGCGCAACATAGCGCAACTTACTAACCTCAGCTAGCACCGGGATCTGCAGTCCTTGAGTAGGAGCAGGGATTGTTGCCATCCCGAGAATGCAATGGCAGATGTAAAAGCTATTGCATTGCGTGCAATAGCCCTGCGTGGCATCTCTGCAAAGAGCGACATGCTGGATAGCCACATCCTGGAATGGAGAAACATGCAGTGAACTGGCACCATATCACCATATGCTCAGCACCACGTTTGTCCAACACTAGGATGTGATCATAGATCCATTGGATGGTTTGGCAAACCACACTGATGCAATCCAGGGGTACCTGGGAGTTTCTCGCTTGCTGTGACTCTGAGTTTAGGAACAAACCTGTTTGAGGGAATTCGCGTATTTCCTAAAGTCGAACTGCACTAATTTTCTCCATCCTTCTTTACAAATGCTTTGACTTCCATGAATATTCTGCACAAGTTGAGGTGTCCTTCCCTTCTCAAGAGAGCTCATCGCTGCAGTAAATGTTACTGCGTCAGCCTTCAAGTTGCCTTCAAGTCTTCAAGTCAGGGATAAGTGCCGTGAATTCGAAGGCCAAAGGCCACTGTCAATGATGACAAATGCACTGATTTCTCTCTAGCAGGACCTACTTGTACTGACAAAACCACTCCTGACCATACTGGCTTGATTGCAAACATCTGTTCGAAACACCAAGGAAGTACATCTTGGTTCTTCAGTTCTATGCTATGTGGTTCTATGCCTCCGAGACGGAACACTTCAAGCAAGGCCAAACTGTGCTGCCAGTGTGATCCACAAGCACCTTGGGGCCGCGTTTGGAGCTGCTGGAACTGACAATTGTGTCGTGCATGCTGGGGCAGGTGGTATGGTGGTACAAGCTGTGTTCACAAATGTCCACAAATGATTGTGTTTTCCATCCCGCAGATTTTTCCAGATTCTTCCAAGGTGGTGCGTTGTCTTCAAAACCTGAGGTCCCCTACTAATCGCTGCATTGTGTGTGATAGTGTCCGGCGTAACCTTCTGGTCCGTCATCATGAACATCACCCACAGCGCCAATGACCAAAGCTTGGACTTCTCCAACACGCTAATGACCTTGGAGACCGTGGAAACCATGCGCAGTTGAATTGAAAAATCCGCCCGCACCGAAGGTGCTGGGGCGTGATCGTCCGGATGGCACTCGTAAAAGGTTACAGGTTTACCTGGGGGGGGGGGGCATTTTTCGGCCAAAACCTCCTGTTTTTGATAGGTCGTGACGCTCGCCTTCAAAAAACACTGTAAAAAACAGTACGGAAGACACCTGTTCGTGAACGCGCCCGTCCAAAATCGGCAAGCGAAAAGTGAAAAAAACCCGTGTTTTTCAACTTTTTGACCTCAATTTTTTGGTTTGCAACATCTTTTTTTGCGGTTCCGCAGGTGGCCTGGCCCGGAGGCGGATTTTTGAGTTTTTGGACCCGTTTTCGGACTGATTTTCGTCGTTTTGTGATAGCAGAAACACTGGTTTTTACAGTGTTTTTCTGTTTTCTGCATGCTTGACGGCTAGCTTCAAAACTTCCAAAAACCTCGTAAATTACGCTGTTTTATGTTACGGTGTGAATGAAAACATCGTAAATACCAGTGTTTTTTGACGTTGGTTAAAAAAACACTGTAAATTACAGTGTTTTTGGCCACCTGACCCTCAAAAACCATGGTATTTGCAGTGGTTTCTGCTTCTCACCGCGCAAAAACACTGTAAATAACAGCAATTTCGCCGTTTTTTCATGTTTTTCGTTATTTTTTGAACTGCGTTGGTCCGCTATACATGGCTATCAAATTCTTCGCGTTTTTTTTCCGACAATCAGTACTTTCGGATGTTTTTGGTCTCAATGGCCGACATCATTGGCAGTTACGAGCGGTCGCGAAGGTGTGAGAACAACATCGTTCAAACCGTGGCGGCCGCACAGGGGTTCTTGTCGCGGAGCGACGGCAATAGAAGAGAACAATGGCAGTAGAAGAGAACAATGGCTGACATCATTAACAGTGTGGACCGTTCACTCGATATGTACATATATGATCTTTATATATAGCCCAACGATGCGGTGCGGGCGGTTGCCGTCGCGAAGCGACGTGAATAAAACGACAAAACTCGGTCCCAAAATGTCCCAAATTTCATTCGACTAAACCATTTTCATCATTTTTTATCCAGTTTCCAACGAAGGACTGTGTTGAAATGTACCACATCCGGCGTGCAGCGTTCATCTGCCATGCGCTGCAATATCTCCAAAGCCTTTGGCCAATCGTGGCCTTTCTCACATGCACTTGTGGCAGCGCTGAAGCAAACCTCAAATGCCGACATGTTGGAACGAAAACTTCAAGGATTCCAGACATTGAACCCGCACACGATGTCGTGACTATGATCGCTAACAGTTCTTGAACTTCTGACCCCTCCGGCCATGCATTGGAATCTGACAAATCTACATTAATCTACATCAATATCTTGCAACTGAATGGTTTCTAAGGTGATCCTTCTGGACATCGCTCTGAGCACAGCAATGCTCGTGCAGGTGACCCTCTTACATTCTGTTCTGCAGTTGCCCAGAGTGGAATAAACAGAATCGAAATTACGTCACTTTGGAAAGACTGGTTGTCTTACTCATAAGTAGGTGCACTGCAATCAAATGGATTCAAATCGCATATCTAGCACCTTGCCACATTGAGCCGGTGTGAAGGCAAGTGCATGTTAAGAACACGCAATACCCGTAGGTACAAGTTACAAACTGCAGCGGCAAGAAACAAGATTCGGCTTTACTGCGTGACACTCCATGCCGTCAAAAATCCTCAGAGCCTGCAGGGGTCTGTCAGCTATGCACATGACTGATAGAAACACTTTTTTCAGCAACAGGGTGACTCATGTTACAGCTGGAAAAAATCGATGTGAGCCCTGCAGTGTCCGTATTCAAGAAATCTCTTATGAGAAGGACCCGATGCATGCAACACAAGCCGTCTGCATATAGAGCTTATCAAAGCAAACAGAAATGCATCCACGAACTATCAAATCTATCAAAACATTTAATCACTCACTGCCCGTCAAGAGATATTTGACGAGTGCCTCGTTGTGATTGCTCCGGCATGCGGCAATCGCAGTACTACAGCTGACCTCGACATGCTGCAATTGCTCTTGAAGGCTTGGCGCGAAAGACTTCTGCGTCTCCTGGAGATGCCAGAAACGTATATAAATTCAGCAACATAGCAGCGTGTCAGTATCCACCAACCCCTCCAAGGGGGAGCGTGCCAGAGAAGCTTGAACCACAGATGACCATACAATCGCTGTCCATCTTCCCTGTTACTGTTTCGTAGCACTTCCAAAGGTGACGTTTGGCAGCCTCCTGGTGCAGTTCCCTTAGTTTGGTAATGGCTAAGGCGGCCAAGCTGACGTTTGGTGTCTTCCCCGTTTCGCCTTTCCCAAGGCTGTGAGGGTTTCCTCAGTTTCTTAATGATTTCCTAAGGTGACCTTCGTCATCTTCCCCGTTTTGCAGGTTCTCAGGGCTGCACCAAGGCTGTCCAAGCGAAGGTTCCCTCATTTTCTTAATGGCTTCCTAAGGTGACGTTTGTAGGGTTTCGCGTGCTCTGGCTGAAGGCCAAAGTCATGTTCCAACAATTTGCTAATAAGGTTTCGGGTCAAGGTCAGCCCCTCGGTCGTTCCTTGTCACCCGCTAACCTTAGCGGCATTCGCGAACCTTTGCCGCGGGCAGCAAGTGCTAGCCGCTAGCCTTACTGGGATCTCCATCTTGGCCTGTGATTATTTGGTTTTCCATATTTTTGGTACCTTTCACTCCCATATTTGGATCGATCCTTTTTGGCGTCCCGGAGCCACAAAACACCCGGGTATTTGCAAAACATCCCTTGCCTTTTCTGAACTGGTCTAACCCTGGAATTTGCTTGTGGATTTCGACTTTACTGTGTTTAACCTGACCATCGGGCTTGCACAGTCACGATCTTTCACATCTTCCCTGTGTATTTGTTCGTGCTCGGGATTTACATGGGCAATTTGTGCTTCTTTGTCTTTGTGATCTTCACCTATTTGATCAATTTTGTGCACATTGCGGGCGAGATCTACTGCAACCACGACTCTAGCCACTCGAAGAAGGGCATTGAGGCGTGCGAGAGCTTCAGCAAGGAGGCAGTGGTATTTCCACAAAAGAGGCCTGGTTCTTTTGCCACCCACCAAGCTGCGCAAGATCTTTGCGGTCTTGAGGAGCCATCACTCACAAGACGCACAATTTCTTGCCGGAATTGCGAGAGCAATGTCGGGCAATGCACCGTGGCGTTGTGGAGGGTGCCGTCAGCTACGCAAGCACACGGCAACATTCTGTCAAACCTGTCAACAGCCTTGGCAGAACACCATCGACCGCACGTATGTACATCAGCCTGGAGGCCGACAAGACTATGCCGCCAACTGGAACTACGATCAGACTGGTTGGGGAGGTCAACAAGGTTACCAGAATTGGAGCAGAGCGAGATCAAAGAGCAGGACACAGACACCAAAGGGCCGCAGGTCCAAAAGTGCTCAATCAAGAGGTCCGGGGAAAGGGCAAGGCAAAGGTTTTACACAGCCTATGCCGCCACCTCCGATGCCTCCACCAACTACTGCATGGACCAACTTCAACATGCAGAATATGCCGAACCCACAGATGATGATGATGTCGCAAGGCATGCCATTTATGCCTCCGCCTCAGTCGATGGTACCGCCATCATCGACACAACAAGCAACTTCTGTGGCACCAACGGCACCGACTTTTCAGAGTCCCATACCGCCTCAGCTGGTTATGGACTCAGAACAGCGAGAGTTCATGGAGATGGCACGGGCACGCCAGTCAGAGCTTCCGCCAGATATGCGACAGAAGATGCAGAAGTTGACCAAAAAGGAAGGTGCACAAGCCACAAAAGAACTGCATTCAGCAGTCAGAACCTTGGGTTTTGCGAGAAAGGATGTGGAAGAAGCCCTTCAAGCGAGATCCAATCTCATAGGATCATGGAAATCCTTCCTATCTGGCGCTGTGCAGACTTGGCAAGAGTACACAGTACTCTTTCAGAACCAGGAACGGGAACTTCAAGAACGCATTCAACAAGCTCATCTAGCTTTTGCCCAAGCCAAACAACAAGCAGAACAATCTCAACAAGAAGCAGGGAAGATCACTGCCATCGAGATCAAAGACGACGACGAAGAATTGGACGGAGATCAGTCCCAAGCAGATCTGTCGTCAGGGAAAATTCACGAGGGTCTCAAGAACCTCACAGCCTCGCTCCAACAGCTTCAACAACAGGCGGAGGCGATCGAGATCGAGGAAAAGGCTGCGAAGAGACCCAGAACTACCGCATCACAGATGGCAGCAGACATGGAGACAGGCGACGGAGGGCCAGCAGAGGCATCCAAGCCGCCTTTTGTCTCGCCCGGTTGTGCATGACGTTTACGTATGACAACCTAGGGCTCTGCAGACACTGGAGTGAATCAACTCCAGCAAGTATCCTGAAATGGCACAATCGTGCAGTGATGAATGAGACTTTCACATCTGAATGGCAAGCTCGTGAACAAGCGATCTGCCTCAGTAATGAGATCAAGTCTTCATCAAGCACCTCTACCAGCTGGTTTTGCCCCTCAAGTTCCCCTACAGGAGACATGCCAGTTTTTGATCATGTACAACTTCCCCGGCCCAGAAGGAAGGTTCACCTGCGTGTGGGTTTTGCAGAGGACCTGGAAATGTGGCTCGGGATTGAGGACAGTTTCAAGATGTACAAGATCATTGTTCCAATTGAGATAGGTGCTTCGGGTTGCACACCTTGGAGTACACCTCTCTCCCACGAAGCTGCCAGTTCCTCACAAAGGATCAACGTTGCAGCCACTACCGATAGCTCAGGTACCATACGAACCTTTGACATGAGTTCATCTCCATCGTGGGCCTCTGCAGTTTTTGACCTTCTCAATCATGAGGGCCAGGTTGAAGAAGAAGAAGAAGGGCCAGTGGTTTTTGTGACGTCTTACTATATCAGCCACGCTCATCATCGATTCCATGATCAACCCAGGGTGCTACGCTTTGACATGGAGTTCCTGGAATGGGAAAGAGATGTGCGCTTTATATGGGAAGACCTTGAGGATCCATCCTCCCCAGTGGACTTGATCTTCATCAGACCGGAGCCACCACATGCGGCATTCCGAGGGACGGCGGCCACAGTGATAGTTCATCAACACTTTGACGCTACACGGTCGGCCTGCCTCATTTCCACTGTTCACATCATGGACCCGGATACACGCTTCCGTGAAAGTGCACACTCAGTTGAATTGCGACTCCAACCTGCCCGAGCTCTTCAACTAGCAGAGGTGGACCAAGTATGTACACAACGACAACAAGAAGGTGCAGGTCCCTGCACAATTCACATTGGACATCATATCCAAGATCCACAACATATTGCCACTTTCCATGGACTTGGCATTCAGATCCGTGTTCCGCCTCGATTGACTCCACAAGAAGCGGAACAAAACTTAGTCGCACGACTACAACGACAACGTCGCCAACGACAAGCCCATGCTTGGGATCCACACACAAGTGATCCAGAACCAGAAGGAGATCATCCTGCAGCCAATGACCAAGATGAGAATCCAGAAGATGCGACATGGTTCATATGGCTCGACGACCAGTTGCGACCAGGAATGCCCCACGTCCAGCGACATCGTCCTCATCTACATCTTCCACAGGGACATCAAGTTCATCCTTTGTCTCCGAAGACATGAGAAGAGTGGTCGTATTCTCGATTGACGGAAGAGCTCAACCGGTCATGCTCTCTTGGACCGATACACGGGAACATCACTCGACGGTAGCCACAGCTTTTGGAATTGAACCTGCTGCGGTTGCGAGATTACATTTTGTTACCCATCGTCCAAGTGATCTTGTTCGAGTAGGATTACAATGTTTCCTGCTCCAGACCACCTCTCAGCCGAGACCTTCAGAATTCTTACGTTTGGTGTTGATCGACATGGAGATCTTTGAAGCACAATCACTTCAACCTTTTGCGTTTCGCCGTTTAGCAAAGTGGATGCCGAAGACCATCAACCGAAGGTCTGTTTTCCGCTTGCTGGAATTAGAAACACAACTTCAAGCATCTGAAGAACGTTGTCTTCTATGGCACAACCATGTCACGATTGAAAACACACAGACAGTGCCGTTGCAGCTTGAAGATGGAGATTACATTCAGATCTACATGGGCGACAAACCACCATCGCTTAGCTGCGGTTCTGAGATCGACTCAGATGTGACTCTGAACAATGATGACTCTGAACAACATCATGACCAACCACAAGATTCAGAGAATTTTGCACTCTTTCAGGTCCATCTCAACACTGCCAACAAGATGTGGCAACTCTTGGCAAAAGATTTGCAGATTGTGGAATACAAGACCGCGCCACATCATGAAAGATCAGCACCAACCAGAATTGCAGCCCAAGGTGATGTCCACCAAGTAGAAAGGCCCACTAGAAACCTGCACATTCATCCGGAAGACCACCGCTACTTCGAGCGCCTCTTCAATGAGAACTCGCTGATTGAATGTGAAGAAGAAGGCCCAATTGCATATCTGGAGACTTGGTACATTCACCACCAGACTGCACAGTCATGCCTCCAATCCAGAGCGGTTCGACTTCGACATGATACCACAAACTGGATCGAGGACATAGTAGAACCATGGATAGAAGAAATTGACCATGCCCTGGACCTTACCATTCATGTTGTACGACCTCAACCACCATGCACGAACATGGAATGCGTACTAGCGCATTTGATCGTGGAACAGTCTTCTGCCAGAGACCACACTGTTGGCCTCCTAACAATCCAAGAGCCTCAGCGACACAGCATTTATCTACAACATCGTGCATTCTCACTGCCGACTCTCATGAGCCGAGACATGGTCCTACGACAAGCAGGACGTCAAGAGCAATGCCAACAAAGATTATGCAGTGTGAGCTTGAGGAACATTCCCTTCGGCTTAGTGGACTGGGATGAGATACCACGTGCAGCATGTCTGGTCATCGAAGTACCTTCAAGCTCAGCAACATTCTTCGCACCAGCCCATCAAGAACCTTTCGATGCCATGGAGCTGATGCAACAATCGACAACGCGATGGAATCGTCAAAATCCACACAGAGATAATCCTGATCAACATGGCATATCTATGCCTTCATCGGGCAGCAGATGCGAAGGTTTTGCATTCAATCCTGATGCTCCGATCTTCGACCCATCAGCTCCCAACATCGCCACGGCGCCAGAGAACATTCAGGAGCTCCACTTCCACTGGATGAGGTCGGCCAGTGAGTGGGAAGCCGGCACTGCGTATTCAGCCCTTGTCTTGACATGGTTTGTGGATCAATATAGACAGGGCCAACACATTTGTCTGCAACCACGCCCTGTGCGCCTTCATGCAGATTTTCGACAATGGACAGAGCAGCTTCGCAGTGCATGGCCAGATAGATCACTGCCAGGGGCACCAGTCATGATCCACGTGGTGACGCCTCCACCTCCACATCTACAAGCAGACATTGCAGCCCATGTGATCATCGTGCAAAATCCCCAAGATGAATTATCCACGGTGCTTCTCACAGGCTATGATTCGTCCATTACCACGCTTGGACCATTCGTGCAGATGGCGATCACCACTCAGGAGAATCTGGTCCTTGACCCGGTCCTGATGCTCATCGGATTAGGCGGAAGATGTTTGCTTCCAGATGCTCCCATGACCTGCACAGCTTGGTACAATAGATATCCAGTATATCTTGGACGCCCATTTCCAATCCGTGATGGATACGGGATCGTACTCCAGCTTAGCCCAAGGCAGACACAACAGAGCACTTCGAGCGGAACTGCCCTTCTGCAAACCAATCTTCAAATTCTCAGAAACCCACAGATCGATGACACCACACATACCCCTTGCGAGCGCCAAACAGCTGATGCGGTGGCTCATGCTCAGCGGCCGCAAGTGGGTTCAGATGAGCTCTTTGACATCTTTCCAGCCATAGGACAGAAGCGATGTCAGGACTGGAATGACCTACAAGTACGCACTCTGATCCAGGTGGTACATGCACCCATTGATCCAAATGAAGTTCCTCCCCCAACTCTTCTGGAAATGCAGGAGATTTATTCAGCACAGGATGTCGCAGAGGAACTTCGATCTTGGGGCTTCAATTACAGAGCCTTTCTCTGCGGAGAACATGATGTTGTATTTGCGCACCCTGCTGAGGGTCAAACGGAAGAGCGCATCTACATTTACTGTAACACGAACACAGACGCAGATGAACCAGTCTTCACTCACCACACCAAACAGATGCTTTCTGAACATCAACACATGCGATTCCTGTACACGAAGGGCTTTCGAAAAGCTGTCGTCATGCAACAGGAAACATGGACACCTCAACTCACATGTGTCCACTTCAGTGATGTCTGCCCTGAACAAGAATCGAACCAGAGAGCGTCCAGACCCAGAACACCGTGGCCTGCGGCACAACCATGCGGCCCTGACAATGCTTGCATGATTGACATCGAGCATTTGGAACATCATGAAAATTTACAATGCCAACTTGTCTTCGATGTTGACGAGTTACATGAGTTCCTTGCTGCCGACAACAGCCACATTCTATGGAAGGATTACCATCAGTTTGAACTGCCTAGTTTCATCAGAGAGGCCCTTGACCGATGCCGATCTGTTGACAGAATCGACCGCTATGTGATTTTTACTGATGGATCTTCCCAAACGTGCCACAAACACAAACCCCCGCTTTGGATTGCAGAGAATGACATCAGCGATTCATGGGCATTTGCAGTGTTTGCAGAACAATATGGCACACAGCCTGCCGAACCCTCGACACTGGAGTTCCTGGGGTGGTCATGCCAAACAGTCTTGTACGACCAGGATGCAGCACACTCCATAGGAACTTCTCGCATTGGATCCGATGCATCAGAAACAGAGGCCATGGCGCCTCAGCCGCAACGATGTGGTGCCAACTGTTTTCGTGAGCGACTCACGTCTAGTTGGAGACCAGGCAGCAGGCCGATGTGGATCTACCATCAAGGACATGCCCTATTACAACTTGAGAGCAGTCTTCCAAGCACTTCACGCTGGACTCCCAGGACAAGGCCTCCAAGTAGAGCATGTTCGCAGTCACACAGGTGATCCATTTAATGAGTTGGTGGACTGGATTGCTAAACGGGAGCCACATGAGAGCCAATACCTCCCTCGACAGGCAGTCAACATGTGCACGTTTCAGTCTATCCTCCGACATCTATGGATTGCCACTGCTGCTGACAAAGACAGGGTACTCTGTCCCACCGATTGCACTTCCTCCGGATCAACCAGTTTCTACAGTGTTGCCAAAGAAAACTGGCAAGCCTATGACCTTCAACATCAGTCTAGGCACTGCGAATGTCAGAACGTTTTATCGTGGCGATGAGGGATATCCTGGCAAGCTTCAATATGTCAGGGAACAATTCCAAGCTCACGGACTTCATTTTCTGGGGCTTCAAGAGTCAAGATGCGACCAGGGCACATCACATCTTTCCAAAACCACATCTATCGAATTGCCAGCGGCCATCATGGAGGCCATCTGGGCGTGGAATTGTGGGTGAATTTGGATCAGCCATACGCCCAGCGAGGTATTTCCTCTCGCTTCTTCAAACGCTCTGACTTTGTGGTTGTCTCTCAATCGCCCAGACATTTACTTGTCCATGCTCAGAATGAAGATCTTGATTTTTGGCTTCTTAGTGCGCATGCACCACATGGAGGAACGGCTCAGGATGGGAGGGAATTTTGGTGGAATCAGATGTCTCAACTTATCCATGAGCATGTTCGACATGGAGATCTACTCACCATGATCGATGCCAATGCGAGATCAGGCCGCACAGATGAGATCCACGTCTTTGAGAACGATGACACAGCAAATACAAATACAGGACTCTTCAGAGAATTCCTTGCAGAACACAATTTGTGTGCACCTGCCACTGCAGCGCAACATGAAGGAGAACGAACCACATGGCTTCATCCAAACGAAGACCGTGAATATCGAATTGACTACGTTTTGGTTCCCACTTCATGGCATGCCTCTTGCCTCAAGTCTTGTAGCCTGGATCATCTGGACTTTGGACATTTAGGAGACCATCGCGCAATGGCAGTTGAACTTCAATGGTATGGAACCACCACGGTGTCTCCAGCGTCTTGCTCTCATGCCAAATATGCGCGTGACAGGATCCCAACCATTTCACTTGAGAATGCCTTGGAAGCGTATCAACCACTGCTTTGGAAGACAGATATCGAGACACAGGTTGACCACTTCAACCACTTCGTTCAGCAGACTCTTCATCGACAATGTCCAACTGAACGCCATGGACCAAAAAAGTCCTACATCACAGATCAGATGTGGCAACTGCGAGCTCGGAAGTTGCATCTCCAAAGACAGACAAAGCTCAACAAGAAGAAACAAAGGTCAGAACTTCTTGCCAGGATCTTCTTGGCCTGGAATGGACAACTTGATCACGACCGCATGACTGCAGCCAGATGTTTTGAGTTCTCCCTTGTCACCAGTGACCTCAAGACAAGAGTGGAACTTTATCAAGTGGCTTCTCAACTCAGAAGGGCACTGACGGCTGCCAAGCGTACTCATGTACAAGCAGCGATCAATAGCCTCCCTCCAGATAGTGCGGCGTCTAGCATCCTGAACACGCTCAAGCCTATCATTGGACCTACCAACCCGAAACTCCGCAAAGCCTCACCATTGCCAATGATCTTGAATGAAGATGGCAAACCGTGTGCCACGCCAGCGGAACTCAGTGATTGCTGGGCGACTTTCTTTGGCTCCATGGAAGGTGGTGATCGAGTTTCACATCAAGGTCTTCGACAAGATTGGCTGAACAATCTCAGCTCTTTCATGCAATCTGAATTGTCCTTGACTCCTGCTGACATTCCATCCCTGACGGACCTGGAAGCGGCATACCAACGGGTGCGCCCGCACAAAGCAGTAGGAGATGACCTCATCCCGCCTGAATTGTGTCATCAACATCCTGTCCAATTGGCTCGCATGACCTTCACTCAATTGATGAAGCTCTGCATTCACGGCCAAGAAACATTACAACACAAGGGCGGATTATTGATCGCCGCATGGAAACGGAAAGGTCCCCAAAATGTATGCTCATCATACAGGTCACTGCTGATAAGCTCACACGTGGGGAAAACAATACATCGGGCCGTCAGAGATCACCAAGCAGATGTATATGAATCATTTCTACAACATCAGCAAGTCGGCGGCAGAAGACATTTTCCTGTCACCATCGGTGTTCATTACATCAGAGCAGCTGCCCGTATCGCTCAACAGGCCAAGCACTCCCATGCTTTGATCTTTCTTGATCTCCAGGAAGCATTTTACCGGGTACTCAGGCCGATTGCGATTGGCGGGCACTTGACTGACTCCATGCTCGCGACAGTGGCGGGGAGATTGAACCTTCCAGAGGATGCACTGCGTGACTTGCAATACATCTTACAACTCCCAGCGGCCACCGAGACGGCGGGACTTCCTTTGCATTTGCGACGTGCACTGCAAGCCCTGCATACCAACACTCATTTCCGAGTTCGTGGACAAGAAGATATTACCCACACGAGGATTGGTAGCAGACCGGGAGACCCGTTTGCTGATGTAGTCTTTGGCTACATGTTCTCCAGGCTCCTTTCTGCAGTTGAACAACGTATGCAAGATCATGGCATCCTGGAAGAAATACAAGACCCTGCAGTGCCAGGACTCTTTCCAGAACATCCTCATCAACATCAAGTTCCCCATGCCATTCTCGGACCAACCTGGATGGACGATCTCTGCATCACAGTTTCTGCAGAAACATCCATTGGAGCTGAACAAAAGGCGAGCCTTGCAGCGGGCCTTCTCCTCGAGGTATGTATGAACCATGGGGTCACGCCGAATCTCCAGAAAGGCAAGACCGAAATTTTATTCACATTTCGTGGACCAGGATCTCGCGCTCTCAAACAGAAATACTTTAGCCCACAACAGGGCTATCGCATGACTGTTGTCACTGAGTACGGCACCCATGAGATCTCTGTGGTTGGGGACTATGTCCATTTGGGTAGCTTGACCCACCACACGGGCCACTCGAGGAGAGAGATGAGAAGACGTATTGCCATTGGCAACAGTGCATTCAACGCACACCGACGACTGCTGTTTCAGAATCAGGATCTGACGAATCAGAAACGTGCTGAGCTCTTCATGACACTGGTCAACAGCAAGATCTCTTATGGCACCGAGACATGGGTGCTTGGAGACTTGCAATCCCAGAAGTACTTTCACAGCGCGATCCTGCGCCTGTACAAGCGGTTGTTGAAACTATCTCCAGACAATGCAGTTCAAGATGATGAGGTTTTGAATACTGCACAATTACCAGCTCCAGAAGAACTCTTGCGCTTGGCCCGTCTGCGATACCTTGGATTGCTATACAAATGTGAAGCGATTACTCCTTGGGCACTTATTCGCGCTGACGTTCAATGGACAAGCCAGGTGCAAGCAGATTTGCGGTGGCTTTGGAAACTTGTCGCCAACACGACAAAGCTTCCCGATCCCACAGAGCATTTCGCAGCATGGGAGTATGTGCTCCGCTACCATCGCAGCTACTGGAAGACGCTTCTTCAGAGAGGTCTACAGCTAGCTCAACTACATCGACAAGATGACCTATTGCTGCGCCGTCTTCATCATGATGTTTTTGCGCACTTGGCCCATTGGGGACCAATTCCCCATGCGCCAATTCGACCACACATTCCAGTGGAACGTCAGATTGGACACTATGGTTGCATGCAATGTGAACTTCGATGCCGGACCAAAGCAGGGGAAGGTGCACACCTATTCAAAGTCCATGGTATTGTTGCCAAAGAACGCCATTGGATCACACACACAGCATGCGAGGTCTGCCTGAAGGAGTATCACTCCTTTGACAAACTTCAAGCGCACTTGAGAAGGTCCACCAACTGCAGAGCACAGATGGCTACAAGACCATCTCGGCCCTTGATACAGCCAGGCATCGGGTCCCGTGACAACAATCAAAGGAGAGCGCAACACGATGACCTTCTCCCTACACAACAAGCCGAGGGTCCACGCCAACCTCAGCGTCCACCTGGTGAAGTTGCTCGGTATCACGAGACTCTGTACGAAGACTTGATTCTCATGATCTTTGACTTCGAGGGCTCAGACCCAGCAGACTTACGAGGTCGACTTCGTGCGTGTATTCAGACCTATGCGATTGGCTGGACGCTCACACAGATCACAATCCGACAAGTCCTTGAAGAATTTGGGAATCTTCAGGATTATGATGCAGGAATTTCACGTGAGGAACTCTGTGCAGTGCTCAATTATCTGGCGGAGCCATGTGCATGGAACTTTCTCACAGAGATCACCTATGAAGCGGCAGAGACTGACCATCTTCACCAGCTTGATCTGTATGAACAATGGTGCATGGACGTTGCGAATGCAACTACATCATGGAAGCCGACTTTGTGCTGTCCACGCCCTCTCTTCCGTGAACGTGTAGTGCTACACGCATACTCGGGAAGAAGGAGACCGGGAGACTTCCAGTGGTTCCTAGATGCTCTAGGCAGGCAGCACAAATTGGAAGGTTTTTATGTTGTGTCCTTAGATATAGTCATAGACTCTACGTGGGGTGACATCAGTAACCAACAGACTCAAAAGTTTTGGCTGGACTCGCTCCGGTCTGGATTTGTCCTCGGCTTCCTGTCGGGACCCCCTTGCTGCACTTGGTCCATTGCGAGGGGTAAGAAGGTGGCCAATTCCAATCGAAAAGGGCCTAGAGTTCTACGCGACCGAGATGCCCTCTGGGGATTCATGTCGGTGTCGCTGAAAGAGAAGCGGCAGCTCTACGACGGGCATTTGCTTTTGGGGTTCAGTCTGCATGCAATGGTCTTGCTTTCATCAGTTCAAGGGTGTGGAGCACTTGAACATCCCGCAGAACCAGCAGACGAGAACGCAGCGAGCATTTGGAGACTGCCTCTCATGCAGATGATCACCGCTCTCCCAGGATTTCAGCATTTTGAATTCGCACAAGGCCTTCTAGGAGCCGACAGTGCAAAGCGTACTGGGCTACTTGCACTGAATCTTTCTGACCTCCCGACATTCTTGCGCGGCAACGCCATTTGCGCCCATGTCCCGAGAACCCAGACGATTGGAATGGACGAAGCTGGCCAGTTCAAGACAGCTAAATTAAAGGAGTATCCTCCTGCACTTTGTAAAGCCTTGGCAGAGGGATTTTTCTCCACTTTTCCACTGTCCACAGAGACAGTGAAGGCATCTCATTTACCTCCGGAGTTCCTTCAACGATGCAAGCACATGACTTGCACCACCATGGGCCAGACCATTGGCGCAGACTACGCAGGTAATTGAGTTGCAGGCAAAGACCAGAATTCATACTGAGAACTGCCGCAGCGCGTGTCCGCTTCCATGTGCAGTCAGCCAAAAAATATATATAATATAGGCATCATACAATAGGCGTTCAACGGGATGGTCTTTGTCCGGTACCAGCTCCGCTTGCTCACCGGTAAGCCGGGGAAAGAAGACATAAGCATGTGTGCCAAAGCCGGGGAAGGATACCAAAGTCAATGCGCCAAACTAATGTCACCAGTACTGTCAAAAATGAAAAAGCATCACTCCCCCCCACCGCCGTCCCCAGCCTCCTGGCCCGGGGGTCGGTGACAGGGGCGGCAGCCCTTAAATAATGTTGTGGTCCTAGCAAGAAAGCAACCTCAAGAGAACCCCAGGAAGAGCAGAAGCAGAGTCTCTAAAGATCTATAAAGTCACTTTAGAGTGCAACCAAAACCTCTAGAATGCGGCAGAGATTAGAAGACCTGTGGGGGCTACCAAACCACAAAGTATATCTTCTTTGTATTTGTTTCATTTTGTTTCAACCCTTTTCCTCGACTTTTCCTCGAGCGCTGCTGACAAGTTTTTAGTTCCCCGGAAGCTTTTCGGAGGCACATTGCCAACAGGCTGCCGTGCTTGGCTGCAACGCATAGTTGCCAATCTGCTGTAACAAAGCTGCAGTCTGCCTGCAAGGTGCGCTGACTTGAGATGACACTCTCTCGTTCCACGCCACGAATTCTTGTCAAAACAACTTTTCAACTTTTCAACTGTGCATTCTTTGCACATCTTTGCCACTGCGTTCCAATGTGTCCACATGTGTCCACTGTGTTCCACCTCCATCTGTTGCTGCCGCAGCACTAAATCTGGGAGAACAGCTTCTCGTTCCATCTGAAATAGCACGGAGAATGCACCCTGGCGAGCGTCCATTCTTCTGACTTGCCATTACTTGTGTACAACTTGCCGTAGCAAACGATTCAACAAATGATTCAACTTGATTCAAGCTCTGATGTGTAACATTTTCCGGCATTCTGTCTTGGCCCTTCTCTTGTGCCAGCATGTTTTGAAAAGTCCTGATGTGTTCGACTTTTCCAGGAAAATAGCTCTCCCACACAAGATCCTCTCACATCCTTTCAGTGCCTGCCAGTCCAAGCTTTTCTTGCAAGCCACAGCAGCGGAGTTGAATGCCAGCATTATCTCCACTTGGGTCTTGGGTTGCCTGAACATAGCGAATGACTGACCTGTTCTGGCTGCAGCATTTAGCCTAGGTAGCCTCGTGGTTTTGCAAACACAAGTGTGGTGACTAAGGGTCATTTGCCCGTCGCATCAAAGTGAAAAATCTACTTGCTCAGTCAGGCAGCGGCATCATGTTTGTTGATCCATTCATTCCCCTACTTTTTGACCCCTATCCTGTTATATTTACCCCTGGACCTGTTTTCTTGACCCCTGGACTTGTTTCTTTAACCCCTGCACCCAGGGGTCAAAAAAAACAGGAGAGAAGGGGTCGAAAAAACAGGTGGTCCAGTCAGGCAGGAACCTGTTGAGTGTAAGGCCTTTTGTCTTGACTTAGAACACTACCCAATACTTTTATCGCAATTACTTGAAACGCAACAAGACCCCTTCAACTTCAAGGCAATGCATCTGCTTTCCAGTTCAGTCATCACTCTGATCATCCTTTCCCTTCCAGTATTTCTTGAAAAAAAAACGGCTTTTTTTGTCATTGACAATTGAACCATGGGAAGAGCCACAAAAAGTTCTGGAAGCATGCAACCAACGACAAGACTACTTACATCGTAACCAGTTCTCCTTCGCACTGACATGCAAGATGGTGCAACATGTCGAATGCCAGCCTCCAAATTTTGCTGCAGTCACGATGTGGCTGGAGCTGACAAGACTGAAGCATCCTTTGTTTGATGCTGCTATGGCTGCAATGGCTGCCACAATGACGTGCTGATTGACAGAGTGCCAACGACACAAGAGTCACAAGAACATCTGAATATGTGAAAGTCGCTCGTTGGCACGCCTTCTTTCCATGTTGAATCCAGCTTCCCACCGTTTCGAATAGCCGTGTGAACGGTTTACCTTGTGACATTTACTGCACTCTGATGCATCTCACTATCATGTTTTGCCAAACTGCTACCCCACGCCTCATGCACCACCCCGCGCTTGAGGGAGACTACCTCGCAAGGGCCGATCACAAGTAGGACAACATTTTATTGAAATCAACGAACGATTGTCATGGAATGGTAGAGTTAGGTAAACAGGTAAACAATGGTAAACATATCTATCCGTCATGTTAGGGTGATTTCGAACTGCATTTGCACAACACGTTTTATTTGTCAAACAAAACATACACACGCAATAGTCATATGTCTACACACCAACACACACAAATATTATCGAGATGGCAAGACACGCCACAACAGTGAATCACACTAATGTGAAAATGCAGCATCCAATGTATGCGTCATTACACAAACAACACCTTACAACAAACATCTTACAGCACTTTCTTTGGCATCATGGCTGATAACATTCATGTCACGACCGGTATAATTACAGATGCACACCTTTGCATACCGTTGCATAGTGCAATAAAGTGCAATAAAGTGCAATAAAGTGCAATAAAGTGCAATAGATATTAATCGATATTAATCGTAGTGTAACCGTTAGATACCGTTAGTACATGTTAGTACCCAAGAACCAAGGAGCTGTTCCACGCTGAGGTCATGGCTGCCACGTTGCCTGGACGCTATCCTTGCGAAGGCAGAATCGGAAGGCAGAATCGGGATCAATATGGATCAATATGGATCAATGGCAGTCAATGGCAATGAAATTTTCTTGCCATTTCTTGTCATTTCTGGTCTCCAGGGTGTGGAGATTTGAATCTTCACAAAATGCAAAGGAATTCTTTGTTCAAATATGTTCAAATCTTAAATGCGGCTCCCACTGAGCCCCTCCTTAAATCGCGACTCTTTCTCTCGGCCTTTGTTGTCTGCACCTGGATGGGCTGGGCTCTACGAATTTTGTGTCTGAGTTCCATTGTGAAGGATTCGATGCGCAGTTTCATATGTTTCATATGTTTCATGTTGGCTTGCCTTTGGTGGCGGTGTTCGGTCTGGTCCTGCTTGCCAACTTGCCTGGGAAGCTGTCAGCAGAGGCAACGCAGAGCGGAAATGATACAAAGAATTCTGACTTCAATGCTCCACAAATTAAAGCCGCATAAACAACACAACATGCTTCTAGTTGGCCCACCGCCCGGAACAGCCCCTTTACTTTGTCAGAAGCCTATGGATTCCACAAAGGCCGATTCTGCCGGAATTTTTAGAATTTGCATTTTAGTGCGTTACTGGATGTCTTGGTGATGATAGCACGCTGGCAGGGAGGGGTGATGGGCTCCATTCCTATGGTCCAAAAACCAGACATGATTCCCCCATGGAATTGCGTGTTAACAGAATTCATAAAGTTCCAGAAAAACTCATAGTTGGCCGCAACTTGATATGACGCTTTAACAGCAAATTACACTCGGAATTACATGAGAAATTTCAACCGTTGTAAATTCCCTTGCTAATGCTGCAAGATTCTTGCCCGATGTTTGCGGACATTCAAAGTACCCTGAATCTGAGAAACAATGAGCCATGTTATTTCGTACCACGGTCTGTGAGCGGTGGACCCGGTGGAACTAGTTAGCAGTATGTCTTGACGTCTAACATCGTCTGGCCATGAGTGTTCTGTGCGAGCTGCGGTAACAGAAAAGCATTGGAATTCGTTGTGCTTACAGATCTTACAGATTACAAGCCCCAACGAGTGTGCTTCAGATTGTTCAAAAGCCCCCTGAGCTCGGTCTAGTTGGACAAGATTCTGTACCTTAAACCTTTCCACCGTTCGCTCTATCTCAACAGGGACGGAAACTTCAAAGTCTCTATCCTTACCAAGTTTTACAGCCAAATATCTTTGTGTCGTGTAGTTGCCTTGGATTAAACTCCTATTAATGCATAGTGAAATGTGGTCTGGGCGCTGGCACAGACAAAGCTTCAGAAGCTGCCAACCACCACATCGCGGCAACAAGCCCTGACCTTTCACATTGTTTCACAAGATGAAACAAGGACATGTGACACATGTGACATGTGCAAGGACTACATTAGGACTACATTACATATGACGTTGGAGAATGTCCAGGAAAAGCTGTCTCCCGAATACTGTCACTTTGCTGCCTCCCGGTGTGCATGAGGAGGGCCTTCAGCTGCACAAATAATGATTGAAGTGATTGAAGAGCATACATAGACACAGGGTGGAGAAATTGAGAAGCCGACAGTCGAGGCTATCATTATCACGCCTTGGAGAATCATTCCAGTTAGTTGACTCTATAGTTTTGGTAGCGGATGGTGCTGTGGTTTTCAGCATGTGTGCCGTATTCGTTTCTTTTAGCAATCTTTGGGCAAGCATGGCCTCTCTCTGGGGCAAAGCATGCAAATTTTCTGAAATCGGTTTTGCAAACAAATTGTATTCTGTTTGCTCGGCTTGACACTTGAAACCAGCGCCAGCAAGTGATGCCGTGAAGACACAGCCAGTATTGCAAGGGCGCCGATAGGTAAACCCAGCCTAAAGTGCTGAGGCACAGGGGTGTGAGACAGGAAGAGACTGCACCTGTCCTGTTGAACCAGGCCCTCCTCTTCGGTCTGGGATAAAAGTCTGGGAGAAAAGTCTGTTTGATAAAGGAAAGTTTTTTTCACTGAGATCACTTGCAACTTTTTGAACATCGTGCTTCCCACGAAACTGCCCGCTTCACAATACTCAATGACTTGACATTCAAATCACGTCTTCAAACAAACACATATCTTCAGTCTGTCCAAGGAACAAATTGCCATATTTTGCATCACAAAAGTGGCCGCTGCGCAAAGCTTTCCAAGCCAACCGAGCCTCCACAGTTCTGGGAAAACCATATACAACTAAAATCGAGAGTCACACGTGGCATCGTTTTCAAGACATGCAATCTTAAGATGATAACGAAAGAATAAACCAATTGTAAAATCTGTAATTTCTTGGAAAGAGCAGGAATGGCAGGTTGGGCAAAACATGTTAATGTTGATGTGTGTCTGTGCGTGATTCAACCATGTGTCCTGAATCTTTGCAAAAACCGGGTCGCAAAAAAATCAAGAGTCGTTTGACAGTCCAAAAAACAATATTCTGAAATTACAGAAAAAACAAAATGCATGACAACTACTTCGAAGTAGTGCTAATGTACTTTTGCCTTTGAACATGTAACAAAGTGTTGTATGAAACCGTCGGTGGACAATTCAATGAAAACAATCCGGCCTCAGCCTCGTTTTCGAGCTGCGCCCAGTGCTGCACCGACAGCGTCATCACATGCAGTGCCACAAATACAGCTGCCAGCTGGGCGCGGCCCCGAGATCGTTTGGGGCTCAGTGGCCTTACGTCCTCAGATTTCTCGCAAAAACCGCGACCTACCGAAATCACCAAAAAAAAGGAAGTCCATATATACTATATCTCCTGAAAGTAGCTCGCCCAGGCACTACTTGTATTCTGTGCTGCTGGGTAGCAATCTGAGGACAGACAAAAGTGCTCCTGCTGCCTGTGATTTCTGTTGCGCCCCCCACACCATCAAATTTTCCATTACGCATCCACATGAACTTCATGGCTATCTGGTCTTAACGTGGCCGATGATAGGGACAAAGGCCTTGCCCAAGATAGGTGAACGCGCAGTTACCTGAAACCGGAAGATTGATATATCAACTATGGTGGTGCTTTCGTGCTTTTAGATTTTCTTTCATAGTTGGAATGTCTACAAGCGGTTAAACACGCACAAATAGCTTGAGATAACGCGATATAGCACCTCAACCCCACAACATAGGTCCACTTTTGTTTATTCCACAGCGCTGCGCACAGTTTTACCTGTTTTTTTTTGAACGTGGCATTGGCCCAATGTGGCCCCCAAACTCTGTATTCTTGCTCCATTGCTTTATGCTTTTTAGATTGGATTCTGCGTTGTGAGTGGCACCTTCGCGCCGCGGTGAATAACATTGAACAAATCAATAATCAAGCAAAAAGCAAACAAATTCAACACTTTTTGTGTGACTTCAAACGTGGCTCACTGATCGAGACAAGTTGGAGCACTGGGAATTCTAAGCCCAAGAACAATGGAAGCGAGGAGTGCTGCCGACAATACAGCATAGCCCTCGCTCTTTGCTTCCGCAGCGGCTGCCCCCAGGATTGCCAGAAGAATGCGGAGTGCAGTCAGCAGCCGCGCTGGCCAGGCCAAATAACCTCCAGTAATTCAGCTGAATCTCTCCACATGGCCGCTTTCAATTTGTCGTGGGAGAAGGCAACTATTTCTGCATCAATCGGCAATACAACCGCCACGTCTATGGCAACATATTATCCAACCGTCCAAAATCCAAAGCTCCAAAGCAAACGGCCCTGGCGGTCATACTGAGTCATGCTAGCTCCACAATGTGTGACTGTGCAACTCTGTGCAACGGTGACCGAATGTGCCTCCATTGAGCAAACCAACAGATGCTGCACACAAAATGCCACAAGCGCCAAAGAGCGCCCCAGGCAAAGGCATGCTGGCACCTTCCTCGGTTCCCAAACAAATCTGTGTAACAAAAGAGCTACGCTGCATGGATGACCGTCCAATACATGCAGCAAATTCAATGAGACAAACAGGCTATCGGCTAGAAGGACTGGTGGTAAATCCAAATTATCGACCTGTTCCTTCATCTTCCCGTTCAGATCCACGATGCTTCCGATGACTTCGCTTTTTTCACACAACTGGTCAGTGACTGCAGAATTTCATAGAATTTCAGCATACTTTGGTGTACAAAGGATGATGGCCAACAGCTGCAGCTGTAGCAAGCTGTACCTTGTAGCAACCGTAGCAACCGTAGCTACACCTTGTACAAACCCATGGTGTTTCTGTCAAGGCTCCAAGATCTGCTCCAATAACAGCACAGTACATGGCAGGGGAAGAAGAACTCCCAGCACCCGCAAGGAATCTGAACATCGCAAATCACGTTGACCAGCAAGCATTGATACGGGCCCATCCTGCGTATCAGAGCTATTTTGGGTGAAAGAGCCCATGAACCCGACACATGGCGAGCTGTGAATGAATTCAGCTTCAAACTCCATCAACATTTGGCACTATATGCACTATTTATGCACTATTTATGCACTATTGTCAGACACTCCTGTGAAACACCGATCGGAGACGCCCTTCCGAGACACTCTTGCGGGACACTCACATGGAGCACTCGATTTTGGCACTCAAAACACACTCTATGCAAACACTCCTGAGACCCTCCCAGAGGAAACTCTTCTGAGACACTCTTGTGGGACGCTCTTGCAGCACACTCTTTGAAGACACTCTTCTGAGACAGTCCTGTTGTGGACACTATTGCAAGGCACTGACTCAAAACCCTCTGCTGAAATTGAAACACTTGAAACACCTTGCGGGACACTCTTCTTAGAGGCTCTTCCTTGGACACTTTTGTCAAGAGACTCTTCGGAGACGACTCTTTAAAGACCCTCTGGTGGTACAAGGCTGTACAACATGTTTCGAGACATTCTTATTTGAAACTCTTGCAAGACACTCCTCTGAGCGTATACCACGCGATGATTTGCACTTGGTCACTCCTACATCTCTGTGCAGCGAATCGCCCGCACTTGCAACACATCCAAAATTGACCCTCTTTAAGTTTCCCTAAGGCACAGCAGGGAGCACAGCACAGCCGGAGGGCAAACGGCAAAGCAAGGTCTAGCCAATTCTAGGCAACAGTCAACCTCCAGACCGAGAGAAATGACATGAAATGACAAATATTGAAAAACCCTTCGCTATCTTCGCTACGGGAAAAGGATGAACAAGGTCCACTATGGTCCATGGTCCACGAAAGTACAAGCGATGCTCCTGCAACTTCCCGAAGTCATCATCTCAACATGTAAACATAATGGACTTTTAATGGACATAAGTTACATAACTTTGACACAAGTTTGACACAAGACATCATAAGACATAAATTCTCACGAGTCCGTCTCTACTCTTCCCGACCTCAGCGAGCCACCAGTCTCCGTTTCCTCTCTCACGCATGGGCTGGCACCTGCGAGTGTGTCAGTTCGCAGCCAAGGGATCAGCTTGAACGCAGCTCGCAACACAAACGCTCGCACTTCTCTTGCCGCAAGAATCGTACTTTCATTCTGATTTCTAGGATTCATCACAATGCCATCACTGTGTCATCACTCTAACGGGACCCTAAGGTCATCGTGCCTCTCTTGTATATGGTTCAACTCTGCAGCGTGAAAGGAGACGTCCTGGAAAATACGCAGTCTATTGATTCTACGGAAAGGAGACATCCTGGAGAATACGAAGCGTTGATGTCAGCGAGTCTCCTCTGGCTGCAGTCCCGCTTTTGCCAACGATTCTCTGGCTGCCCTGGGTTGAAAAGAAACTGCGAACAGCTGCGGAACAGCGGAACAGCTCCAGAACAGCCGACGCCAAGCCACGTGTTGCACGCCAGGTTCTCCAGGGCTTCCCTTGTGCGATGTCGAATGGCCGCGGCATTCAATGAGATCGGGCTGACAGAAAGAACCTCAGAAGGCTTTCACAAAGCACACCTCTCAGTGGCCCATGCAATGGAAAATGCGATTTGATCCGTGCTGAATACTTTGGTTGCAACCAACCATACAAGTCTGATTCAATCTGATCATCCTTTTTTTGCATCCCGAATATCTCCATGTCTTTCAACTCTGACACATGGTGCTGCATGCTGTAAGTCTCTAAGCATTGCCAAAGCCTAAAGATCCTAAAGTGTGGCCCGTGTTTCACATGTGTTGCAAGCGTTCTGTAGAGATGACGGCGGATGACATGTGCCCGCACCTGCCTTCCGTGGCACCACTGGGCGCTCACCTGCTCTTTGCTTCACTCTCAAGTTCTGCCCTAAGCCCAGAGATATCCCAATGGAAACAAAACATATTGTATATTTATACTGTTTATATCTGTTTATACTATACAAATATGGGCAGTTTCAGCAATCAATTGTCAAATTCGAATCTTCAGTCTACTTACTTGTGAACTTGGCGTTCAAGCTCAAGCTCGCACACCATTCTCAGTCAGGGAATCACAAAAGACATCCTAGTCTTCCTGAGAGCTAGTTGTGAATTTGCCGTAAGTTGGATTCCGTTTGTGAAGATTCCCTGCGCAGTATGTTTAAGCTAAAGCAAATCCCTTCAAAATGAAGCTTGGACTTGTGCTCGTTGATGTTCATTGGGGCCATTGGGGCTCAAAGCATGTCAAAGCCCTTGCAGCTATGCCACGCCGTGCACTGGCGAAAAGCCCAACAAGCAGGTAGAAGGCTTCAGTTAGCGGCGCGAGCAAACGTTGCACAGACTTCCTCACAGGATCCAGAAGAGTGACAGAGCGATGCTGCTTCAACATACACGGGAACACAAATAGGAACTCACACAACACACGCACACAAACACCCTGTTTGGCCCAGGTTATCTCGACACAAAATAAATTCCAACAGGATCAAAAGTGCGGACGACATGCTCTAAAATCAAAGATCAAGATGTTCACTTCCACATGAAGCTTCCCTTTCCAGAGAATGGACATGAATGAACCCATTCGGCACTGACTTGTTTCTTTCCAACCTCCCTGCAAAGCCTGCATGACCATGTCTTGCCTGTTCAAGATGTAGCACAAAACAAACTCGGAAGCCTTCAAAGGAAGCCTTGTACAAATTTTGGGGCAGTGCAAGAAGTGCAACGTCCCTTGAAACTTGTTTTTCCGGGTGCCCTGTCGGCCCTGTCGGCCCTGTCCGAAGTCCTGATACAAACAATGAGACTGCCGCAAAGGTCCTCTCAAGGCAAACAAGAAAAAACAATAAAAAAAACAAGAAATGCAAATTCCAAAAGTGGTGCAGTTCTGAACGCTTGACGACTTGACGACATTTGACCATGAAATTTGTCGCATTTGTACGTGACTTTGCTGCACCACGGAGTGGTGCCTGGACTTATCACAAGAATGGGACAGCCCAGGTCCTTGTTCCACCCAGGTTAATCTATGGTTGCTTCTTGCTACTAATTCGTGTGCAAACCCAGACTTGATCCTGCAAATTTCATGAAATTCAAGGTCCGTAGGAGCTCTTGTGTAGACCCTTCTATATGCATCCCCGGCACTGGGTTCATTTCCTCCTTCAGACGTCCAAGTATCTGCCCGGATGTACCCCTTCGCGCGAAATCCTTTCCATCTCCACATTCCCGTTATATCTTGCACAGTGGTGTCGTTACTATTCGATCAGTTTGCTGTTTGTCTATGTTTGTTTCAATCTTTTGTTTGTTCTGGTATCCTTCAAACGCCTGTTTCCGGCGTGAACACTGTTAATCTGAAGTTAAGATATGTCAACTTTTCTTCCGCAGTGTCCTGCACCAAACCAGCTACCAGTAGCAGAAGGTGTACGCGGATCATAGAAACCACCAGTGCAAAGGCGTGGCCGTACCTGACAAGAAAAATGATGCGAAAAGAAACCGTGAACATGAATGAATCGAATGCATCGAATGAACATGCACTGTAGCAGCTGTACCGATGTCGAACTGCCAATTGCAGTCTGAGGGAACTTCACCAAAACTCTCAAAGTGACAATGCATAATTTAGAAAAATGCACATTATCAGAACTCCTTTTTGAGCTGTCTTTTACATGTAATATACATCTGAGACAAGGGACAAGCAGCCCTTCTCCAGCGCTTGAGTCAGGAGGGCATCGTAGATGAAGAGCAACTCATGCACCAGCGCCCTGCTCACGGAAATGTCAAGAAATGTCAGTCAAACGAAATGGTACGTCGTCTTTTCGTGCCAGAATGCTGAGACCGAAGCCGAAAAGTGGATTCAATCTGCAACTGACCTGGCAGAGCGTAGAGTTAAAGCTATGATTTCGCCATGATTTGTTCGTTTTTTTTTTTGAAACTTCCACCCAAGAAAACCATCTGCCAATATCTGCCACTCGCCATTGTTATGCCATAGTTGACACAGCTCTCCACAAACTCGGAATGCACCACCTGGATTCGAAGCCAAAAACTCCTGGAGAAAACGGAGCAGAGCTGACAGCGCCTTCAGCTTCTGCATGTACAGCATCACTAGCACATAGCCTAGAAATGCCTATACTATCATATACTATCTAGTGGGAAAGTTATATTTCTATTTATTTAATTTTATTATATCTATTTATGTTCTATCTGTCATTTGCTGTCATTCTGTGCAGGATTCGCATCGTCCTCAACCGCGACTCTATGAATGTTGCCATCTGAGAGCTTCCGCAAGCTCTCTGCATTACCTCATCCAAAGAGAACTAAAACATATGTGGTACAGATTTGCTCAATAAATTGATCCTAAACCAAGGGCCCACGAAAGGCCAAGAGCACACAAGATAGCCCACCTTTGAGTTTGATAACAAAAATATGCATACTGCCTGGCACTGGCAAGAAAAGGAAAGCTACAAGAGGCTACACCATCTGCATGCTCTTGGTCCCCAACACAAACGCTTGGAGACTGCCTCCCACCCAACCTTGCTGAGTTGGGTTGCTCAAACTACTCTGATCTCTGTCTTTGTCTGCCTACGCTAGTTCGATGCTTTCTTCATGATCATTCTGAGATTCTGGACTGGACAGACTCCTTCGAAGTTTGTTTGCTTACAAATCTCACAAGCAGCTTCACATTCCCCGGGCAAAGGTCAGCTCATACTTTGCGGCAAAACTCTTGTATGTGTAGCCTATTGACAATGCTACCCTAAGTGCAAAGCTGGACAAAGCGATGTGTCCTGCAAAGCACCAGGGCAGTAAGGCTTCCATGTTGGGTTTGGCAACCTAGTCCACGCTTCCTAAGCTCAAAAACATGTGTTCATATTTTTTCGAAAAAGTCAGTCATGGAAAAACTGCAAAGTATCCGAAGTATTCGAAGTATTCGAAGTATCCCCTGACCTCTGCAGGTGGATTGGCTGCTTCCAAACCTCTCATGTCACGTGCCGCTGACTCGTACTTATTCTACGGATTTCTACAGTCGTTCCACCGTTGAATGCGCTTCGAACCTCCCAAGCTGTTCAGGTGCAAAGCCACAGGTAAAATAAGAACCTGAGGTCGGATGCATCAGCATACTGCAGCATACTCCATAGCTGATGAAACAAAGAGTTGCCTTTGATGTGGAGGCTTTGAGAAGAAGTTCTTTCAAGATTATCTTTGCAAAAGTCTACAGTCTACAGTTACTTGACAGCAAAGCGATCCAAAACCCACCATCAGACTGTGTGAATCTTGAACGACTTTCACAAGAAAAGGCAACTTGAAAAAGCTGAGGCCTGTTGAATCATATGCAGGTTCCAAAGTCAAGATTCGTATGCAAAGCAAAATCCCTTTAAGGTTCGGGCCTGGAAAAGCAGTGCCATGGCCACACTTCGTGCAATCCACCAATGTACTGTGAATATGTCTATTTGTCTTGCATTTGAACGGCGGTTGGGTCCGGTTAGGTGGCGATCTCTGAACGTACCTGGGTGTTGTGGCCCAAGATTCAGTGGATTACATTGTGTTGATATCCCGATATCCCCTTGTTGTTTTCAACCCCCAGAGCGATCGCTATCGCTGCACCGAGCATGCATCAATCAAGCAAGGTCAAGCAGGGTCTCTGCAATGATCTCTACAAGTTTTGAGGTACCTCTCTTGGACCTTTTGCACATTATGCTTCTCAAGTAGGTGTTGCAATCCGGCAGAAGCTTCAATTTCAACCATTGACAGCAATGAACATAAACACTCACACACATGCAAACCCAACACGTATGAGTACAAGGATAGATAGAATGATAGAATCATATATTCAATCAGTGAGTGGTGTCAACTTCGCAGAAAGTTTCAACAGCTCCCACCGAAGAGACTGTGCGAACAACTGCCCCTTTTGCATTTTTGATCACGGCAGTTCCAGCCCCTTAGTTGAAGAAAAATTGAAAACCAAACGCAACGATCGCTCAATTTATGGCGCAAGCAGCAACACTGCATGCAAGCTGAGAGCGGGGCTTCGCGCTCAGCATTCTGCCTTGACCCATAACACACGAAACCAAGATGTTCGTTCAAGAAACATAACAAACCTTTGAAGAAGCCTTCTGTTTGATCCACGGAATGAAAACCATAACTTGAAAGTCACCACGTCTCCTTGCGAGAGCCGTGCACGCCAATATTTCTTCAACTTCACATTTCCAAGATATGTGTTTGTAGTTTCACTTCTGAACTTCTTGACACGGGTAAATTCCAACACTGATGCAACAACAATCTGAACTGATCATGTTGATTTGGAGCATCTCACTCCTGTCATGTCAAAATCACTGAAAATCACTGAGTTCACATGATCAAATCCTTGAAGTTTCAAGATGTTTCAAGGCTCCCACCGCATTTCCTCCGTCCACTCACCAGGTAGTGCCACTTTGGGCAACTCTAATACCTAGGTGTGCGAGGACCCGCACCAAATGGTGCCGCCACAAGACTACGAAGACTATACGCTCTCAGGACTCTCGTGGATGACAAATCTGACAGAACTTCTCTGTTTCGTGTGATTTCATCCGGGTTACTGACATTTGTTGCAACGTGACAAAGGTCAGACACCTTCTTCTGCGCCACCTCGAAATTATGGCCGTCCGGAGCTGAAAGGATAGTCATTGTGGATTGTCTTTTGATCTCCTTCGCACGGGCAAGGGACCAAACTTCACATATATCCATATATGACAAGACAAGAAACAAGAATAAATCATAACAGTTTTAACAAAGAAACAAAATCCTTGGGTCCGGATGGGGAAAATGGTCTGGATACAGACTCATGAGGATTGGAGTGGTCCCCTCAGAGTGCAATTGCTTTGATCGTTCCTGTTCATCGATTGCCTGCATCGTTGTCGTTCTTTTAATTCACTCAAGACTCCAACTGTGTCATTCCTTCAGAATTCTTTTGAGTGTTTGAGAGTAATCCATTATCTCATTCTTGTGTGCAGGGAGCAGCTGATCACTATTGAAATGCGTGAACTTTACATTTCGGCCTCAAACTCTTTTGCAAATTTCTGCAAGCCTCCAACAAACGTTGGTGCAAAGCCTGGTTCTCACCACCTGAGCAGCACACCCGTGCACCCTGTGCGCCTAAAACCAACGGAGTTCGCAGTAAAGCTGGTCAAAATTCATTCCAACATATTTCAACATACTTCAACAGTTTCTTCAATTTCAACAAAATATGACGAAATACGGTGTAGCGGGCTCCATCTTTTGTTCCTGCCACTTTCTTGCCACGTTCTGCAGCTAGTGGCCACAGTGGCTCGGCTGCAGACATCTCCTCCGCAGTTGCTCCAAACAGACAAACCCGGACAAACCAAACAACAAGTGTTTCAATACACGAGATAAAGAAGATCAAAAAAACAAGAATCTACCACACCTTTCAAACACTGCTTGGTCCGATGCATTCAATGTCAAAAAACACAACAAGTCTGTTTGGCGTTGAAATCGTTAAGGGCTTCGGAACATGTTGCTCAATGCACACACCATTTCCTGAAACATCTGACAGTTATCATGTGCACACAGAAATTCAAGGAATATTCTGCGCGGCCCTGTGCAAATTTGTTGGGTCTGCCTGAAGCACCAAACCAAAAGTATCATCCCGAGACTATCCAAAAGCTATTCGCAAGTTCTGGGCACTTTGCGCACAAGAACAATGCCACAAGTATGTCAAAGTATTCTACATTGACCTTTTAGCATAAGACAATATAAGACATGTTTGACGTTGTTTGACACGCAACGTTGACACGTGGCAGGATGGAACGAGGATGGACACCGATTCCAGTCCTCCAGGTGCATCTGGCCTTTGCGCAGCAAATGCCCTGCAGCAAAGGCCCTGGCCAAGCGCATGGCCAGCGGCGGCGTGACTCGAGAGCCTGCGCCGCTCAAAACGATCAAAACGATCAAGACGTGCAAAAGGCATCAAAAGGCCACAAGGTGCAAAAGATGTGCAAAAGATGTGCAAAATGCCACACGGAGCCTGCTCCCATATAGGTCAGTTCACCGATGCGGGGGCCCCACTTGGCCTTATGCTCTGAACGATTCTAAGATTTCGATTCTTGATGAACAGGACCAACTTGTAAAAAATTGCCAAATGTGAACATAGTCAGCCGAAGTCAGCCGAAGGTGCATCTCCCAGCAGCCAGTCCACTCGGAGCTCATCCAAGCCTAGTCAAGTGCAGAAAGAGAATTACAAGGTCACGATTCGTCACGATCGCTGAACAAATCTGCTTTTGTTCTGGTCTTCAATTGGTCGACTCTGTTTTTGTCTCGTCATTTGTCTGCAAGGGAAGCAAATGAAGGGACATGTGACACACAGCCACTGCGCTTTCATTGCGAACTTGAGAAACAAAAAACTCAAACAACTCCACCAAGAAAGAAGCGTCTCAAGTTCTTGGGACTTTGCCTGCCGCTTGGCAGAGACGCTCTGATGCATCTGGCACGGCAAGTCATGCAAAGAGAAGTGGAAGAGCTTTCTTCTCAGACCAAGAAAGTGAGATTTGAACAGGAATCTGAAAGCTCTTCCAGAGCCTTTTCATTTTCTTGTCATGCAACTCTTTCTGCCTCTTGCTATTACAACATTCCTACGTTGAAAAGTTCTGGTGTTCTGTGCTGAACCATGAATCGTTGTTTCTGTTCGCTTCTCACCTCGTATGAAGAACCAACTTGAGGCCAAAGCCTGAGAGAACATCTCGGGAAAATGGGCAGGTGGAATGAGCATCGCAAAAGATGGAACATCATGAATCGTAGCAAACATAGCACTTATGTGGCTAGCCATGTAGGAAAAACCAAAGATTAACTGTGCATCCATTGAACCTTTCATGAACTTTCGTGACCTGAAGAGTCTTAACACATCTTAACCCATCTTAACACATCTTGCATAACACTGTTTGCAGGTTGTACATGTTTGCACATGTTTGCACAAAATCCACATTCGACTTGTAGATCGACGGAGCCGTTTTCCCGTGGCCCGTACTTCCTGCAAGCCAACCAGGAGCTGTGGTGGCAAACTCCGACCATAGCAGCGATCCAAACTTTTGCAACGCACCTGGACAACGAAAATTAAACGAAACAACTGGATACAACTGGATTGAAGATGACTGAAAAGAACTGAAAAGAACTGGATAACTGTCAATTACTTCAGTTCGATTTGAGACTTCAGTTGTTTCTCTTCAAGCATTCTTTTCACTTCTTCGAATTTTTAATTCAAAGAGTGCTCGCAGTTTGACTGAAGTACTAGCACCAATTTAATTCATGCCAAGACCGCTTGCTCTATCTTTTGGCTGCTTTCTCGCTGCAGAAATGCGCTAATGGATCCATGGTTCACATTGGAAATATTGGAACCACACTACCAAACAGGATAAAACTCATGAAACTGACTCGTGAAAAGTAGTTGAAAACAAATTTGAACAAATTTGAACAAACCTGACTTGAACACTTATGATACTTATGATTTAAGTCTGGAAACCTGGACCGTCCTGGACCTAGAGTCTTCCTGGAGAACTCCGGCGCACCTGTCCCCTGGCCACCAGGTCCTCCATGGGATGATCCAAAACACAGAACGAGAACCGAGAACGACTGGGGAAACTGCAAATATCTGCAAATATCTGGAAATATTTGCAAATACACCAAGTAATCCAAGTAATCCAAGTAGAAAGAAAACGCAAATGCGCCAAATGCGGTGGTGCGTTTCACATCCTACGCCCTTGTCATTCGGCGTACTGCTTTAACTCTGTCCCACCTGGCTGTCCCACATCTGGATAACACCATTCCAAGCCACCTAGCAGCGAAGTGATAAACAAGTGATAAACTAGATTTTTGATGATTCTGCAATTCTTGAAGCTCAATGAGCAGTTCACATACTGCCAGGCGTCCAGCATTCCCAAGATTCCCAAGAGACATTGCTTCTGGCACTGTGATGTCTATTGCCTGTCACCTAAAATTTGCCTCGCAGTGAACTTTCATCCCCAAAACCAAGTGGCCAGCAGTCCGATGATTGACGCCCAAAATCTTAGATCATTAAGCTTGATGATCTTCAAATGTCTTCAGATACAGCACATACCAGGAGCTGAACCTCCCTAAACCTCCCTAAACCTCCCTTATATCTTCCCACTTCGGGAATGCACTGGGCTCCCAAACCCACAGCGGCTGCGGATGAGTGTTTAGTGTAGCACCCACCAATCGGCCAAAGAGGACTTGCACCTTGAGCTCCTTAGCGTCAGATTAGCGTCAGATTAGCGTCAGATCATCTTGGATCATCTCATCCTTTTGATCCAGCTTTGGATCTAAAGACTTTACAGCCTTACAGTGCCTTACAGTGCCTTACAGTGCCTTACAGCAGATTTTGGTGCTATTTGTTTCTAAACGAATTTTCCAACGCAGAATGATCAGAATGTTCCAATTTTTCTATATTTTTCTCACCTTCAAACATCAAACTTCGCTTTGGTCTGCTGAGTTGCCATGGGGGCTGCGCGGCTTCGGGGACCAGTCTGACGGTCGACCTTTGGTAAACAATGGACAAACAAAGATATCAAAGAATCATAAAGAATAACAATGGGATATCATGGGGAATTTCATTCAACTGTTCAACTAGGTTTCGGCATAGGATGAAAAAGAAGCAAATCGGTGAAAAAACAGTCTGCACGCCAACGAAGTCAACGATGATCCAGTGTCACAGTTGTGTCACTATGCATGTCCTTGGCTTTCGCACTGCAATGGAATACATGGGTTGCAGCACAGCTCCGCGAGGCACTTGTGAAAGTTGCCAGCACTCCTGGTTGTCTGATGAAGCTTTTATTCTCAAATTTTGGCCGCAAGGCTGTCGCATCCCCACTTCAATTCACACCAAACACGCAAATCATTTTGAGCGTCTGAAGGGAAAGGCTTTTTGATGAACTCATCTCAGCTCTCAATAATCTCGATACGAGTCGATACGTGCAGAGCCTTTTCCCATGATCTGTCTTCGCCCACCAAAGCAGCCTGCCGTACAGGTACGCAAGGAGTTGAAGTTTGTGTGAACCCACAGGTGTTAAAGTTTAAGTGCCAGAAAGATCCAAAAAGTGCTATAATCAACTACAATAATCAAGATTAATCAAGTGTGTGCATGCCCAACACAGCTAGAGTACTAAATGTATGTTTTGAAAGGGAAAAAAAACGAAAACATCGTCTCAACATGTCTCAACTTGCCCAATGTGGACTCGGCGCCAGGATGCCTCGATGCTTTGAAACAGTTCCTCTTGTTTGGTCTCTTCAGGCGAAGGCCAGAAAAAAATGAAGCAACTGTTCGCACCTCGATCGATAAACACGTGCGGACAGAAGCAATGAAAAAGTGACAGACTCTCTGAAGCAGTTGAACACAGTCACAAAGAAATGCTCTCCGAACTTTGTATTGTATGTTTAGGTTCATTGTGCATTGCCCTCCAATTTCTCAAATGTAGTAATTTTTGGCCAAGAAACCATGTCGTGGTTTTATCACGACGGGCCTCAAATCAGAGGCAAAGCGCAAGGAACCCAAGATGAGTTGTGAACCAATTCACGTGCCTCAAATGAAACGCACAGAACTCAACTGTGCAGCACCAAAGCCAAGAGAAGACAGCGAAACAGTTTACAATGGCAACATTTTACTGAATGTTTGAACACATTCAATATCATTCAATAAGCACTACATATTCCATCCGTTTAGCTTGGCTGCGTGCTGATTTTCCCTTGCACACTCCTGCAGAGACGTGGACAATGAAACAATTGTCGAACAATTGAAACAAAACGGTTCAAATCCGACTTTTAAGCTGGAATGGATTTGACTGGTCGCACTTGGGCTCTCACCAAGGATTTTCTGACAGTTTTGTCAAGGAGATGGGTCCAAATTTAATGTACAATCCATTTTTCGTTAAGGTCCTGAGCCCAAGAATTTGCGTCTTGGCTCGAAAGCAATGCAAGCATGGTCAAGCACGAAAATTTAAGAGGGCAGACAGGGATCGAAATATGACTTTTCTCGGAACCGTGGCCACCGTGGCCTTTGAAACTCAAGTTCAGCACCCTTTGATCATCTTTGATCATCTTTGATTATCTTTGATCCATGACTGTGGTGGTGGGGTCGCTCCAGCAAGGTTTGCTTCATCTTCTCCAAGCCCACTGGATCATCAGCAGCATGCGCCAGCAATGGTAGGTGTAAAGGCTCACAATCCTAAGCTCAATGCCATCAACAAGGACGGGCAGGTCACGGCAGGTCTCCATTAGTCAATGCACCAGGTCTAATGCAGGTTCTATGCATTGTACTTATGCCATGCATCATTGGATACGTTTTCGATCGTGCAAGGCTAACAAATATAACAAATTGTAACAATTTAAATCAAATAATATATATATAAATAAACTGCAGTCTGCATTGCATTGGAGGATCACGAAAGTGCTGACAAATGCCGAATCACACACAGATTACATCCAAAGCTTCCAGCAGTTCTGCTGTTCGGTGCACTTGAGCAACCTGGCGACGGTGCAGACGGTGCAGACGGTGCAAGCTTCAGGAGTCAATGAGCTGCCCATCCGAGCCTTGTCATCGAGCCAAATCAGTTCAGCTCGTCTGGTCTTCCAGGACTGGCCGATGCGGTGATACCTGGAACACGAGTAAAAGGCACGGCGCACAGCCGGTGCACAGCCGGTGCACAGCCGGTGCACACTCAAGAACAATGCAAGAACAAATGCTTTTTCGAAAAAAACAAATATCAGAAGCGTGCGTCGAGTCCAAGGCACATCATTGCATCCCAAGTATCGTCCCGGCACTCGGGTTGGGAAACCTGTGCTTTTGGAGACCATGTCAACATGTCAACATGTCAACATCATGTCAACTTTTCAATCACATCATGTTGCTGTTTCAATCGGTTTTCAATCGGTTTGAATCGATTGCTGCATTTTGCCACGGGAATTTGCCTGGTGGCACAGCTCCAGCAGCTCCGGAGTAGGCTCACAAGCATCCTTACGGCGTGAAACAAATACACCACGGGACATGGTGGAGACAAAATCTCTAAACATGCCATTTCAGTGCTTGATGTGGAACTCCATGTCTATAATCTATATACATCTACAGAAATCGATATAGAACGATATATAAGATCTATATAAATCTAACATAATCTAACATATCTATAATTTATCGATCATTTGTCTTTCATTTTCTTCTAATTTCGTCGGAGCGCCAAGCCTGGAGCTTGTAGCATTTTGCTGCGTAAATCGCGAGAAGCAAATCTTCTTCGATGTGCTGTACAGCTTCCTGGCGCTGATCGAGATCCCTCGAAATCACAGATTCATCATGATTCCAACCGAACACCGAGTAGACCGAGTCCTCATAGGGAAGCTGAACAAGAGTGCCAGGTGCACCTGGAATCTGTCACCCTCTGTCACCCTCTGTCTTCCTGTTGAGACTACAAAATCTTTCAACATTGATGGATTCTGATCCAAGCTACACCATCTGTCTTTCACGTCTCTGAGAAAAGCGCCACTGAAGTTTGCGACGTGAGAACACCATACGCTCCGCACCTGCAGATCTTGAACTTTGACTGCCAGTATTGACAGTTCTACTTGATGCTACCTGGACCTGTATATTTCTTGATGTTCATGACTCATTGTACGTCTATCTATCAAAGCACCTGCTGTATTGTGGGATGGAAGGACAGAGTGGCGAAACGCACTTCCCAAATGTTCGAACACAAATGAGGGTGCGGTGTCTGCTGCCTGTACGTCATCTGCCATTTCATGGCGCTGCACGGTCAAGGAGCGCGAAGTGATCGCATGTTAAAAGACTTACAAGCTCTCATTGGTGGGCCTGAAGAAATTCCGTGTATAATTCTTAAGCGATAGAAGCAGCAAAAACAAGACAGCTCCGTTTGCAGAACAACATCCAGCTGCAAACGTCTGGTGTTTGCAATGCAACCAAATGCACCCATGGACATGTCCACATGTCTTTTGGATTCTTTTGGCTTCTATTGCTCTGCAAGCACACTACTTTGCTTCAGAGATCTGCGATTCTGTGCAGTGCATCGCCTTGCGGCATAAAATTCGTACCGATGCAGTTCGACAGCCATTGTCGAAGCGTCGACAGCTGCGAGTATTGCGCGGATGATGCAGGGCAAGACTTTGCACGGGGCTGCATCTTGTAGACTTTGTAGATTGATTGATTATGATTCATTATTGTAATCTGATGTAATTTGCACCAGTCTGCAAATTTCATGCTCAGTAATTGCTTCTCTTTGCTTGCGCTTGCCTGGTCTGTACATTTTTCATCATTCTTCATAGGTTTGTCTATGCAATGGTTGACTGTACGCCTGGGCATCCAACCATGCACAACCCATAAGGTGTGGGTCAAACGGCTTCTGCTTCTCGCCTTGCCGGATCCAAACATCGACAGAGTGGTGGGTATGGTGGGTAATGTTTGAACGCTCTGTCGTGAAGTGGGCTACGAGGTCGCTTCTTTCAGAGAGTGAACGTGACATCGAAGTACATCAAACATATTCAAACATGAGTGAACCCTCTGAACCCTCTGAACCCTCTGCACCCTATTCTGAATGTGGCCTTTGCTCGATTCTCTGTAGGAGGTGGCGGCAAAGGAGCAGGTGTCTTGAAGTTGTACCTGGAAAAACGGAGTGTTCGGAAAGATAAATCTAACAGTAGTTGCGAAACTGTTTCTTTTGGCTGTTGCAACTCCAACCAATCGTTTGCTGTTAGCTTGTGCTCTCTGTCTGGCTGTCTTGGATGGTTTGATCTCAGCCGAAGCTTCGAAGCTTAATTTTTCAGAGTCGGGGGAGAGCACTTCTTCTGAGGTGCGACAACAAATGGCCTTCCCGACGATCACGTGTAGCATCACTCAGGACTTGGACATGCTGAGTTTGCCATCTTGCCACACCTCCATGGCAAATCTTGCGTCGGATTCACGAAGAGATTGCGGAAGATGACGTGCACAGGAAGGATCTCGGTGAGTTTTTGGATTAACACATTCCGCTGCGCAAGTTTCACTCTGTATCCAAACACAAAGTGAAAATTATTGAAAATCACTTCCTTAGCTTGCACTGAACCTTAGGAATCAGCCATCAGCCATGGCTTGCCACTCTTAATGGCAAAATCCAAGGCAAATGAAAAGTGCCTGGATGTTGCAACGAAACGATCCCGACAAGACATCAAATTTGGAAGGTATCAGAAGTCACTTGAGATACTTTTTACGCAGTACCAATTTTTTGCGCAAACTTTTTGCACAACAAGCAGGTAGTAGAATGACAAGCAGGCCAGAAAATCTCATCCGCTGAAAATGGCGGATTTGTCAGCAACACGTCGAAGGGCGGAACTGGCAGCAACGATCGACACGCATCAAAACATCAAACATCCCGCAATCAACAACTCTACCAATGCTCAAACAAACAGGATCCACGCACACACACACACACTACAAAGCAAGCTTGGAAATTCGTCTCTGGGTTAAATGAGTCAGCAAAAAACAGGGGCAGCTACGGTAGCTACGGATATCGCTAAACATCTGCCTTGATCCCACCATATGAATAATATGAGCAATGAAGCTCTGCCAGAGCCTTGCCCAGCTTCACAAACTTTGTAAAAATCCTGGTTCTCGTTGTGCACACGCCTAAAATCGACAAAGACTCACAATTCACTACGGCTACGGCACTAGAGATACCAAGCCCCAAAAGGAATTTTAGAGCATGCAATGAGACAATGACACTGTTCTGTTCATAACCATTAATAATCTTGATTCCTTGATCATCAACAATTACTTCTCTGGCAGTCACACTGAAACACCTCATGCACACCTCCGGCCTCACCCTGTAACAAAGTATCAGAATTTTGCCTGAAGATAGAGTGGCCTTTCTGGTTACCATTCTGTCTGCTGCTCGTCCGTCAGGTGCTGTGGCGTCTACGTCTTTCATCTTCCGGCGCCAAAACGACTGAGCTGGGCACTCAAAACCCAGCCGCAGCAACCGAGTCTTCACACCACCCTGGCAGTAGTACCTGAAGCTTTGGATAGCTGTGGTTTGTTTAATGTTAGCCGTGTTAGTCCCTTTTCAGGACTCGCTCGACATTCGCTACCCAAAGAATATGATGCAACATTCAGGCCCTACCAAAATCAAATGAGGAATTGCAGTTGACGGGATGGGCAGAAAGTTGCCTTTCATGGCAGTACATATGTACACGTATGTACAAACACATCTTCCAAATTATGCCAAGTATATAAAGACAACCAATCAACAGGTCACTTTTTCCTCGCTGCTCTGTGCGGTGCACTCCAGCTACAGGTCTGAAATGAAATGTGCCGTGACCAAAAGGCATTGTGTTCGGACTGGGCGACTGGGCGAGGCGACTGGGCGAGGCGGCTCCGAACTTGAACAGAACCAATGTCTCGCCGAGAGAATTTCTTGAGCTTCAGCCGCCAACCGCTAAAACGGCTTAGAATGGTGGTGGAATCAGGCTTGAAGGGGTAGGAAAAAATGGCAAAGGACCTAAATTTTGAAGATCTGAAACCATTGAGCTCCATTGTCCTCAATATGTACCAAAACCTTTGCCATCCTCAATTCCCTTCAAGCATTGCTGTCCAGACCAAAGACCATCAGACCAATGTGCTGCAGAAAGTGAAGACAAGACCAGCGTACGAAACTTCATGCAGCAGCTGCACCTGAAAGGAAAGACATCAGATTTCCCCAGACATGCAGCTGCTGCCTGGACTAAGCTGAGACCAAACTAAAATCCGCAACGAAGGTGCCGAGACGTGATAGTTTAGGAGTGGAAGCAACCGGAAAGATCTGTCAGACTATATAAATCTATATAACATTACATAACCAAACCAGGCTTGGCGAAGTTCAGCTGAGATTAGAACGACTTGGATTTGGCTCGTGGTGGACGTGCTCCTGCACGACGCTGCAATATCTGTATCAATCGTCCAAATTGAAACAGTTTTGAGGTGTTTCGATGCAGTTTTGATACACTGTCTGCGACTTCTGCTAATCATTCTAATTATCACAGTCTACAGCCTGTTTACAGCCTGTTTACAGCCTGTCCACTTCCGATGGGCTTCGTGTCCGTCTTGTCCGTCTTGTCCTTGGTTGCTTGACCTGCGAAAACGAAGACCTGTACGGACAGGGCAATGACCTGGGCCGCGAGTTTTTCCATGGCCAATCGCTGCACGTTGCGACACGCGTTGGGAACCATTGCTGCCAAGCAGCCAAGGCAGTTGTGCCAACGGGCCAGTCGAAGCCTTTCTTGTTCAGCAACAAATCGCCCACAAAGTAAACCTCAGAATGGTGCCCATAGCGCACACTCGAAAATCATTGTGCAATTTTGCGCCATAAACCTGTCAAAGCAGCTGTGCAGGTCATCAGCTATTGAAAACACCAAAATAAAACTATCACGTATCACGTCATGTATCATTTTGACAGTTTGAACATCGGATGTTGCAGGATGTGCGTGAGGATTCATAAAATCTATGAGAATCTAACGCTCTAGATCGCTTTCCCATGACTTGCATTTTCCAGATAGCCGATCTATTTGGGATTTCCTAGCATAGGTAGCTACAGTATTTCCCAATCGGTTCACCAATCAGTTTGCTGAACATCTGGCCCACGCAAATCCTGACTGCAGCCGTTCTGATTTTCTAAAAACTGTGATCAAATTCTTTTTGTAATGTGGCAAGATGTGGCAAGCAGAGTAACAAAATGTAACAAACATGGTTCAGATCAGTTTGGATCACAGCCACATCTTCACAAGCTGCCCCCTTTTGACTGCGGTCCAAGGAGTGACGGGGCAAGAAACCTGCTTCACATTTTGCAACATTTTGCAACCTGTTTAGTCTGTTTAGTCTGTTTAGTGGTCTGTGTTTCTCTTGTGCCAAGAAGCGATCAGGAGCGACAATTGCTGGGCGCTGGATCGGATGACAGTAGAAAGCCGTTTGGCAACAAATCCTGCATTTCGTTGGAGGCAAATGGTTACACAACCCTTCAACGGTAGCATGCGATCAACTTCCTCTCAACAGGACGTCGAGGTAAATTTGTTTCGTACATGAGAAAATGCCTTCCCTGGGACCGTCCTGCCAGCCAATTCTGCAGAAGTGTAACCACCAGCACGATGATCATCTGCAAATTCCAGGCAACGAAAATGCCAGCTTCCATCCTGGCCAGTTATAGATTAATAGCACCAAAAGAGTCGCCTTGTTAAGGCGCCATTATGTCCAATGTCATACTATGATGTTGACAATCTCGTTGACATACTGTAACAAAGTGCTTTGAAGCTCGGCTCCTGCCATCTTCCACGACTCTTTTCTTCCAGAATGCATCTTGATCGCGTTTGCTTGTGATGCCGCAAACAAAGAGCATCAGGATCTTAGCAAAACACGCAAGAATCCAAAGACACTGTTAGACTAACACAAACAAAAACAAACATCAAACATTTCGCACCCACGTCTATGCGCATAAGTTGCCTATGCAGCTCCCTAATGCTTGCTACTGCATTGGTTTTTGTTTTTGTGCTTCCGTTTGATGTGATCTGGCGGAAGAAATTTGGCAGCTTGCTAAGGGGAGCTAATAGCTATTGAATGCTATTGATCAGCTCCAGTGTCTGGCTGTTCTGAGTTTCTTAAAAGCTGCAACTGATTAAGTGATTCTTCCGTGGCCCACTCTGGGAAGCTGGCTGATGTGAAAAAGCTCCCAACATCCAAATTCACTTTTTGAATGTAGAAATGGCTGTTGCCCGCCTGTCACGGACAAGACTCTCCAGAAAAAAATGAGAAGTCCATAGATGTCTTGAGATGTCTTGAGTGGGAAAAGGCAATGCCAAGAACACGCAAGAAAATGAATCTGGTAACAAATTTGCATCGCATCTGCGGAACCTTCATGATCTTTTCTGAGAGCATCGAAGCCAAACACGACATGACCACGGAGAGGAGGACGTAGCTGATCCCAGTGTTGAAGATGCTCTCTGAAGGACTTCCTGCTTTGAAGCAAATTGCTTTGTGCGTCCGGATTGAAATGCTTTGAACAATTTTGAACATCTCTGCTCTGGACTCTGGACACTGCTTTTCGATTTCATTACATGTTTGTCATCGCTTTGCCTGATGCAGAGTTCTGCAGCAGAACAAAGGCACTGGCGCTGAGCATGAGCACCTTAGTTCTGTGTGTCATCTACAATTCCTACAACTGTCACAGTGGGATATATTAAAACCATTTAAAACCTATTAAACCAACCAACAATATCCAACAAATATACAACTCAAACGCACAATCCCAAGGAATGGCACAGCTTAGCGATAGCTCATTCCTCCGACAAGTCCTGGATACATATCGGACGCTTGAAAACGATTCACGTCCATTCACAGTAAATATACGCACAACTTATCACAACTTCATATCTGCAACGAAACAACCTCGAACTAACCGTGCAACCGTGCTTGAAGAAGTGCATCCCGCATATACCGGGGAACCAGGTGTGTAGGTCCAAGAAGCACATAAACTTGAGAACTCAAACGGAGGTGCCTTCAGGTGTCTATTAACTCTATTAGTCCCTTAATGCTCCTGAATGTTCTTTAGCCTGATTGCTCTTCGGGATCTTGAAATGTCAAGGCACTGTGAGAGCAATCCATTCCAGAAAGCTGTAAGAGCGCCGAAATATCCAACGGCTGAGCAACGCGCTCAAAGGCATATAGACGTTACCAATGACCTATCAGCCATGGTCCCTTAAACATCAAACGGAATGGGACATCTACACTCATAGATTGGTAGAACATAGAAGCATGATCAAGCTTTGACAACCCTTTTTCTGATGAAAACGACGCACTTGTGACATTTTGTGACTAGATTTAGCTGCAAACGTTTGACATATTTTGAAAACATCCAAAGACCCAAAGCTGCAGTAAGCTGCAGTGCTGCAAGGGGCCGTGTTCTCCATTCCACTGACCTAACACATGCGAATATCGTGTCACGAAGTCGAAAAGGCTCCAAAAGGCTCCAAAAGGCTCCAAACATCTCGAGAAAAGACACATCATTGAGATATGCAGAGGGTAGGATCATTGGTATGAAGATGCGCACACACACACACATATATTCCTCAAAGAGCGTAAATATATTAAATATGCGTAAATCACAAAATTCATGAAATTCTGACAGGTCAAAGTCGCTCCAGAGCTGTAGGCCATGATTGTGAATGTCTGGCTCAAGGAGAAGCAAGTAGCTACGGGGAAGCATCGCAAAATCTCCTATGCCACTGGAAATTGCAAAAGGTCTTGATCCACCTGTGTCGTATCACTGTGTATCACTGTGTATCACTGTGTATCACTGTGTATCACTGTGTATCACTGTGTATCACTGTGTATGATCGTATATCTGTTGTGATATGTTGTGATGTGTGCAGAAAGTGTGCAGAAAAACGCAGCTTGAAGAAACGCCCTGGCGCCCTCACCACATCGCTCCTTCCACGACAATGCATCCTTGAAACCAGTCATGCCTTCAGCTGCCACTGAGACCACCAAGCCCACCTTAGAGGCGAAACACGTTTGAAAAAGCGGGTGAACAAAATTGAAACAAGTGACACAACTGGTAAACCATGTTAAACCATGTTAAACCATGCTAAACCATGTTAAACCATGTTAAACCATGTTAAACCATGTTAAACCATGTTAAACCATGTTAAACATCAAGTCTGAGGACACAGAGGACACAGCTTTCAAAGCCAAGGAGCAACAATGGATGCTCCAAACTGTGCGAAGGTGATGGACTGCGAGACAATCGGAGTGCCACTGATGTACTGGTCATTCCTAGCGCTTTCTCAGCTCCGAACCGCTGATATCTGCTCGACCAGGGCTGATCAACTGCCGTTCAACATTCAATTTTCAACATTCTTCAACCAAGGCTCACAATGGTTCTAGCCGAGTCGAAGACCACGAAAATCTCAGACGACATGTCTGATGAATTGTGATGATATATATATATATAATATATATATAATATATATATATATAATATATATATATAATATATATATATATAATATATATAATATATATATAATATATATATATATAATATATAATATATATATAATATATATATATTGTAGGATCAAAAGATGCAAATGTTCAAGCAACGAATGAAGACACCGCCATCAACGGCGGTCAAGGCACGGAACCTTTTCCGTCTGAACTTGCGCCCAAGAGCTCTGCGGTCAGCAGGCAAAAGTTTCACAACTGCAGCAAAGTGACATGACTCCATGGAATGGTTACAGACTGTCAAATGAGTTCATCAGCCCCCTAAAGTTCTTGTTCCATGGAGTTTGACATGAGCTTTGACTGGTTTTCAGTCTCTGCTCTGACTGTTTGCCACGCAGCAGGACCTCTTCTTCTTCCTCTATCATAAATTTTCCAGTCTTCAACAACTTCAACAGGGGCTCATGATGCCCACCCACAAATTTCGTCATTGAATCAGCTGGGTTCATGTTGTGAGGGATCCATCGGGGTCGGCTGCGGCACACTGACATGGATTCGCGAATGATCGCGGTTTCTAATGCACTCCTATCATCATCGCCCTGGCTTTGCTCCGAATTCAGAGCATCATACAGACTCTTCGCATCCATGACGCAGACACTGTGAGGATCTCGATAGATGTTGGAGTCATTTGCAATGACTGTTGCCTTTCCAGCGGCCTCAAGGTATTGATCTTCTGAAAGCTGCTTTCGTCTCGGGCTGTAGTCTGACAGGCGGGTGCTTTGGAAGAAGGCGTCCAAGCGTTCCAGAGCACCTGTCGCTGCAGACATCGAAATCGCCTCGCACAGCAATGAAGATGATGCCTTTCTCCGAAGCCGCTTGGATCGCCACTGAATAAGAGAGATGGGCGCAGGCTCTCCTCTGTTCAGCAGTGGATTTGTAAATCCAAGCAACCATCCATGTTGAGATTTCTCACGTCCACTGGTGTCGAATGCTGAATCTGCTATCAGGACCAGTCGCAGTTGGCTTTCGGGAATCGCATGAATCCGGAGGGTCACAGGAAAGGTCTTCAGGTGCTTCACCACCTCATTCGCGGCATGCACATGCTCCATTGTCGGGTTTGGAAACGACGAAGCCAGGATTGATGCTGCGGATGAAGCATCAGGCCTTCCTTCCCTTGACACCCAGTTCAAAGAAGCGATCAAGCCTCTCAACTGCGTCTTCTCGCTTTCGTTCAGTTGCGTCTCAGCTGCATGCTTTTTGAGAACCTTTTTGTGGCTGAGAATCGGTTCCAGTCGCGTATAGATGAACTCCTCCATCGTGATCTCAAAGCTGAAATCAGGCAGCTGGCGCAAATGACGTCCTGCATAGTTTGTTCCTTCAGCAGACTGCAGGTTCTCGACTTTCCCAAAAGTCAGCATTGATTCCAACTGCTTCATTTTCTCCAGATGCCTCGGTCCACCCGCCTCCGCAATGTCGTCAACCTCAATGACGATGAAGCCGTCGGACAATGCACCTGGGGATCCACGTTTGGATTCTTCAGCTGGAAGTGTGAGGATGCACCTGTCATAGCAATTCACCTCATACTTCAGCTTCTCAGTCGCTGTTTTGAGAAGTGTCCTTCTCCACCAGCTGGGTCCAGTCACCAGGCCATAGATCTCGGTGAGCAGCAACAGGAGCTGTCGTGGATCAAGTCCTTCTGGACATTCATCACGTGGCATCCGGCAGGCAAGTGGTTTTGACCTGGTGGTCGGCAAGGCCTGCAGGAAAGCGGTCTTCACATCCTTAACCCGTGTAGCCCATCGTCTGCTTGATGCCAACTGCAAGCACGCATACAAGCTCGTTGACAATGGCGTCGGGGAAGAACGCTCCACCTCGAGGATCTGCGGATCCTGCCATCCCACTGCGCACAACCGTGATTTTGGATTGGTGGCATCTGCTTCCAGCTCGATGGCTTTGAAGTGTCCCTGAGTCAGTGCTTTGGACTTGTACTCCTCCAGCTTTCCTTTTGAAACTGCAATAGGCTTGTAGCGGTCCACATACTTGGAATCAATCACCTGTTCTGGTGTGTCTCGCAAAAATCTGAGACTTTCCTCCACAGACAGAATTCGCACAGCGCCAGTGGAAACCAAGCTGTCGAGCTCCTTTTTGCGTGAAGCCCGAAACATTCTCTTCTCTTCTTCAGGCAACTTCGAAAATTCAACTTGTCCAAAAGATGATTTTGTCTTGGTCACGTACATGCAGCTGTCTCGGATGCAATAGCTTGCCTCTGCTTGCTGGCATGAAAACGTGGCCTCATCTTCAGTGCAAGGTCTCAAAGTTGACCTTTGCTGTTCTCGGCAAAACTTCCATGTGGCACCGATGAAGGCTGGTGCCTGCACTGCAGAAAACAGGTGTGAATCATCTTCAAAATTGATCACTTCCACATAGAGAGATTGATTCGGTGGCCTTGGAAGAGAGGGCGCACCCGGGTTGAATGGAAATGGTGTCCTTGGGGCTGCTTCTGTCACTGACCTCTGACTCAAGGTTGGTGTGGGACCTGTCACAGAACTTTGTCTCAGCGTTGGTGTCTCTGGCTGATCCAACAACGGTTCTTGTGCAGGTGCTCGTGGCCGTGCAGCTGGGTATGGTGCTGAATGACGTTGTCGTTCAACAGCTGACGGGCCAAAAGTTCTTGCCGGTAGCATTGGTTGTGGGGGCATGCTCACAGGGCTTGCTGGTTCACTCACTTCTGGAATGACTTCCATTGGTGCGGTTGGCACTCCAGTCTCAGATGCGATGCTCGCACGTCTGCTAGGCAGTTCAGAGTTTGGTGCCGTCGTCACATTTGAACCATCCACTTCCGTGTCCACCTCCATGTGAGCTTGACCTGAAGAGCTTCCCGTGGTGCTCGTCGTGGTTGAAGTTGTTGCATCACCTGATTGAGATGAGCCATCTTGGGTCTCAGTTTGTTGAGCTCCTTCTTCACGGACATTCAAGGTCCTGAGAACTTCATCATAATAGTCGTCTGTGGGTCCTCCTTCTTGAGTGACATCTTGATAGACGACATGACCTGGCTTGCTCAGTTTCGCCAGCATCTCTTTGGAAAGCTCAACAATGAGCTCGGCTCCAAGCTCTTCTTCAGGTGTGGCTAGTCGAAGTTGTTCTCGAGATGCCTTCCATAGCCTGCCGCGCATAGACACCCAGGATGATTTTCCAGTGGGGTCTTCGGCGATAGTGACGCCAGGGCCAACCCAACCCTTGTAGGAAGGTGTGTCCCGGAAGACGTAGACCCATGATCCAGCAGGAATCTTCTGTTGGTCGCTGGTGCGGGTTTGAGCGCGCAGACTGCGTCGCACAGCACCTTGGTCCTGCTTTCGGATCCATTCGCGGGCAGCTGCATCTCGAATCTCCCATGATCGGTGAATGGGGTCTGTGGCCGACGCATCCGCCAGCTCGCGGTTCAGGGCGTCGGTGGCAAGGAGAGAGGCTGGGAGGCGCAGGTTCTTGCCGAAGACACGCTGCATGGGGCTAAATCCAAATCGATCCATGTAGCGGTTTCGTCCTGCTACCACTTCAGAGATGACATATGGCAGCTCTTCCATCGAGGCTGATGTGGCGTGGATTGTCGCTAGGATCTTCTCTTTCAAGATACCTCCAGCCTTCTCAGTTCTTGAGTTCTGCCAAGGTGATTGGGCGTCTGTGTAGTGGAGTCCAACGCCAAGACCACCCACAAGCTCCTTGAGCTTGTCGTTGTCAAACTCCTTGCCTCTGTCCATGACCAAAAGAACGGGAGGTCCATAATGCTTCACCCATTCGCTCATGAAACGTTCAACCACTTCATCTGCATTCTTGCTCTGGCAGATGCATGCTTGTTGGAAATTGGTGCCCCAACACAGCATGTTGAGCAGGATGACCTGTTTGTGCTGTAAGTCCAAGAAGCACAGGTCAATGCCAACCACAGTGTTGAACTCCAATGCTCGCATCAAGTGTCCAGGTCGTGCTGGTTTTGGTCGAGGAAGTGCATCGCAGGTCGGGCATCTGAAGTGTCTCTTGGTCCACTGGATGATATGTTCCTGAACTCCAGCATTCTGCAAAGCACGGACGAAGATGTCCAATCCAGGGTGGCCAAGATTCCGATGCACTCGATGAACTTCTCGCCTCAAGTTTGGAGGAAGCGAGAACTCTCCCTCATCCACCTTTTTGAAGTCCTCCATCTTTGCAAGGGCTTTGGAAACTCCAGGTTGCTCGCCAACATTGCGAAGCTGACGGCGAGTTTCTTCCAACACCTCGTCATCCACTGCCTCTGGCACAACTGCCTCAGGCAAGTCTTCATCATCCGCTGCTGCAGGCCAGACCATCCGTGAAAGTCCATTGGATGGATAAAGTCCACTGGCTTCTGCATTTGGCCGGGCAGGTGGCTCAAGTCCAAATCCAACCACCTGCCTAAGTCCATCGGCCTGAAAGTCCAATGATTGCGGATGTGAATTGGAGGCCATTGCAAAATCCATGTTGACCTCTTGGCAATCCACTGCAAAAATTTGGGCTTGGATGCCAATCGACTTGCCATACAGGAAGGCTTGGTGAAGTTGTGGATTCTGAGGCTTTGCTGCTTTGATTCCAAGGGCATTTTTGATACCATGCAGCAATGCCTTGACAAAGTGGGGCGTGTAGATCGCGGCCATCTTAGCTGAGCCGCCAACCAGCATTCCATGTTGATGCGACTTGTTGCAAGTCTTCTGAACGTAGTGAGCCATCTCTGCAATGTTGGTGGCCAGGAGTGTGGGCTTTTGGACCAGCTCCCCTTTGCAGGGACCTGCTTGAGCACGTAGGCCAAACTGGCACATGTCCACGCGGATCTGGTAAACGTCTGGATGATCCAGCAACTCCAGCATCTTGGGGAGTTTCCAAGACTTGGCATTCTTGGGCTGTTCCAGGATGAACCCACGGCCTTCGGAGATCTGTAGCATGGCCAGGCTGATGGCGAAGTTCATGTGGAGCTCACCCTCGATGACTTCACGTCGAACTTGTTCACTGTCACGCTTGCTGTTTGACAAGTTCCGTAGGGATGAGAATGGTCCACATGGAGGTGAAAGTAACAGCACTGCAGGTTTGTGCGTCTTCACCAGCTTCACAGCCTTTTGGCGATGCTCTGACTTGCAGAAGTCCCAGCCGTTGGTCAGGTCCAGCGCTATCTTCCCACGGAGTCCTTCACCTGGAGACATTGCAGTGGCTCTTGGAGGGCTGTAGATCTCGCCAATGTGGTCGAGATAGTTTCGTAGTGCAAAAGAAACGTGTTGTCGTTGCTGCTTGTCGATGGTTTTGGGCACACCATCAAAATCAGTGCGGGCCAGCTCAGACGTGCTGGCATTCAAGGAAAAAGTCATTTCTTTGATGCCCAGGTCACCCTCAGTGCTGTAGCTGTCCTCAAACTCCATCCGAGGACCAAGCAACGTAGAGATCCGTTGCTCTGCATCGGGCAACTGAGAGCAAACCAGGACCGTTGCAAACATTGCCAACTTCGTGGCCTGGGCAAGTGGTTTCGCTATTGAATTCGTCTTGCATCCACCATTGCCCTCATATTCCTGGGATTTGCATACCTGGTTCTTCATGGAGTCACCATCTGAAAGTCTTGGATGGCTTTGCGTGGAGTCGTCTCGTCGTCCGACGTGTGGATCTCCTGGATTTCCAGCTCCGATGATGCTGGTCCTCGAGACTTTGACCTTGGTTGGGCAGGTCGAACTCCACTGGCCATCTGCATCTGCTTGCGGCGCTCCTTCTTGTGCTCGGCCATCAACTTCTCCAACTGCTGATCGGCTGTCTGATCGGTTGGGTCGAAATCCATCCCATCCATCAGTGCCTGAGCCGCCATGTCGGTCACCAGACTGGTTGTTGGTGGAATCCCCATGGCTGCTTGGCGGTGGCGGTTCTGTGGGTGCTCCAGCGGCATTGGGAGTTGTCCTTCTGACTGCATGGGTGCTGGTGTCATCCTCCCTTCGTGTGCCATCAGGGGATCTGTGCGGACCACTGTCTCCTCCTCGACGACCAAGGTTGTCAGGTTGGGCCTTGATCTCGGCGGTGGCAGTCTGCTTGGGTATGCCACCTTGGAAGACGTCTGGATCTTCTCTGTTCCCGCTGAACCGCGGTATTCCCCTGAAGAGGCCGCACCAGCGTTGAGCTCCATGTCGGGTTCCCACTCCACGCGCTGCCATCGGCTTCCACATTGCAGGCACGTCCACCAAAAACTGTCCTTTGACCCCCGCTGCCTCAATTGGCTTTCTTCGTGAGCACAGTCCAAGGGCTCTTTGGGCCAGCTTTTGCATGCTTTGGAGCGAGGCAGAGGCTGCCCTATGCCACGCCTGACTTTGGCGGTCTTCTTCGACTCCGCTGGGACCAGGGACTTGTCCTTCTTGGCCTTCGGGAGCTTTGCCATGGTTCCCCTGTTTCTGCTTGTCAGGTAGTCGGTCACCGACTGTAACATCACCTCCAGGTACAACCTGATGGTTGCCAACACCATGCGACGCCAGGCCTGCATGAGTTTTTCCGGTGGTGACTTCTTCTTCGGCACCGGGTCTGGCATGTCTTCGTTCTGAGCCAGCAGCCATTGCGTCACACGCTTCTGCATCGCCCGTCCAAAACTCACCAGGTCGAGATTGGGGCGCAACGGGATCTTGAGTTCCCTGGGTGTTTGCGGACGGTCGGCTTTCTGTTGTAGCACGATCCAATGCAGGCTGTTGCAAAGAACTTGATGAAAATGCATGTGAAGGCTGTGGCAATGGACTTGATAACATGTGTGATGTGGTTGACGCTGAATGTAAAAATTGAACATCATCTGAAAAACTGACATGTTTCCGCACTGCAACATCAGTTGAAACTGTTGACATCTTTGTTGAAACATCTGCAGTTCTCTCCAAACCCCTTTGGTCCTGCACCTGCATTGGTGTAGGCTGCATTGCTGGCTGCCGCATGCTTGCCTCACCGTGCAGCAATGCATCACGTTCACACTGTTGAGAAGGATCACCAGGGGAATGGGGATGAAAAGAGGCAGCAACATCAACAACAGTGCCGATCGATGAAGGCGAAAACTGCGAAAACTGCTGAAAAAACACATCACCCGACCAAAAAGGGAGTTGGCGCTGTTGATTGATCAGCCATGAATCATGGATTGAAAGCGGTGCAGCATGTTCATCATTGCTGTCAATAACCGTCCACCGTGACTTGTCCAAAGTTCCCAGCAAACTTGATGGAAAAACTTCTTTGGGGTGCACTAAAGTTTTTCGAGGGCTCAAGGTGCCCATGTATTGCAACTGATGCTGAGCCGTTTTCAACCAAACAGCAACTCCAGGTCTTTGTGCAAACTTCGTTGAAGTTGAGCTCTTCGCAGGAGAAGGCTTGGGTGATGCAGCTTGAAAAGGGTTCTCACCTTCAATTTTCAACTCATTCAACAGCTGCTGTGGCAACGTCCACTTGCCTGCAAACTCAAGCACTGAAATGGCGCGGTGCCCTGATGGAGATCGCCTCATAGGCGTACTATTGCCATTCTTCAAAGTAAACAGTTCCTTGCTCACATCAACTGTCGCACCTACCAACTCAATGTAAGAGATGGGCAAGAGAAACGGGGTGCAAAAAGATCCTTCGTCGCTGATTTCAGTCACACGGATCAGCCCATTGGTACGAGCCACTCCAACTGGTACATCATAAATTCCAAGAATCTTTGCACTGCCGCCAATCCCAGCACAGGTCACTGTTGCCCCATGCGCTGGTGCGGGCTTCAAACCGTAGCTTTCCAAGCATTGTCTGAGTTTTGCCATTGCAGCTGAACCAATCACTGCTTCCTCAGCCGCTGTGTCGACAACTGCTTCATTGCCGGAAGTTTGAACTCCAGCAAAAACTGAAAACTTTTTCTCCTTGGCTTCGGAGATGTTCACATAGACCTTGTTCTGGTTTCCAGAGCTTCCCTGACACACAAAAAAATTGGCTGCTGATTCCTGAGCACGCTTGGGGCATTCCTTGGAAATATGTCCAAGCTGGCCACATGAAAAGCATCTTGTTCTCGACATCAATTCTTCAGGGGTTCCACGGTGAGCATGACTGCCATGTCCACGACCCTGACCCCTTGAGCTGGTTGAAGTGCCTTTGCCTTTTCCAGAGTTTTGATTTCCTTTGTTTTTCCCTTTCTTTGCAACTCCGGCTTTGGGCTTGTAAAACTGTCGGCCTTTTCTCCGCGCCTGGAGCTCTTTGCGAACGTCCTTGTAGGCAGAGTTGTAGGCCCAGACATAGTTTGCCTCATCTTCATCATATTCCTGTTCAGGGTCGAACAGCATGTAGGTGAAATTGCCACGACCATCACTTTCGGGGCCCGACAACTCATCTTCGTCGGGCTGCAGCTCATCGTCATCCTCATTGGTCTGCTCATCTTCCAACTCACCGTCGACCTGAGTGCTTGTCACATAGGTCTTTGCAACCCTTGACATCAGAGCTCCAGGACGATCTAGAGGACGTAGTGCTGCAGCTGCCTGATCGAAGGTGAGCAGGGCATTGTATCTCACCGCAAGGTTTTCCCTTTGAAGGTCGTTCAGGCCAGCATGACGCAAAAGAATTCGACCAGCAATTTTTGGGGAAAGTTTTTCACCCAATTGGCTTTCCATCTCCTGCAGAGCGATTTCTTTGGCTGCTATGTATGTGGAGAAGCTTTCATTCTTGGATCTTTCATTGCCATAGAAAAAATTCTCCACAGCTGCTGGTCCAGAGGCTTCCAGGTATGGCGCATACTTCGCCATCAACGAGGACAATATAGCACTGTAGCCAGACTCCGAAGTCAACGTTGCTAAATCTATTGCTTCAGCTATTCGGCGAGGTGCCGTTCCTTCATGAAAGGACTGCATCAGCTTCAGACCCCAACGTGACTTCGGCAAATTGTTGTCTAGTTCCCATAGAGAGAGTTGCCGTAGCCATGCACGAAGGGTTTCCACACTTCCATTCCAAGGAGGCAACATCTTTTTGTCGCCGCTGATCGCTGCTAACAGCGCTTTCATCATAACATCATCCTTGTCAACTCTTTCATGGGTCAGTCCAGCAACAGGCGTTTTACCCAGCATCTCAAAAGCACTTTGTACATGTGGTGCAGGTTGTGGCAACGCTGAATTGTCCAAGTTATGGAGAACTGAAGAGGCAGTCACCTGAGGGCATCCAGTACATCCATATTGTCCTGAGCCAACTGGTGCTGCCATCGGCGCCACATTGATGCCTTGAACAGCAGGGTGCATAGCATTCGCACGCATTGGAGAGGATGGCGCTGATTGTACGCCGAAACCAGTCATACTTGGCCGTGGTGAGCTCGCTGTAGCATTCCCTTGAGGAACATTCATTCCAGCATTGAAACCAGTATGCAACTGTGAAACATTTGTTGTGGGTTGATTACCAAAACTTCCTAAGGAAGGAGGTACCGTTCCCATCACATGCACTTGGGGCATTGGGCTCATTACAGTAGGTATCCCAGCACACCCCATGAATACACCTGGTGGTCCTTGTTGAGGGGCTCCACCAGGACCATGGAGCTGCGGACCAGCACCACCATCGTGGTTTGTTCGACCAGGTGGATAGTAAGATCCCGGAGCTCTCATCGAGGCGTCTCCTCGGCTCCAGGGATCACCACCTGGTAAGGACCATGGGTCCATGCCGGTCCAAACCGGACACCGGCTCCGCCTACCACTGTAGGATCAAAAGATGCAAATGTTCAAGCAACGAATGAAGACACCGCCATGTCGGCGGTCAAGGCACGGAACCTTTTCCGTCTGAACTTGCGCCCAAGAGCTCTGCGGTCAGCAGGCAAAAGTTTTCACAACTGCAGCAAAGTGACATGACTCCATGGAATGGTTACAGACTGCTAAATGAGTTCATCACAACAATGGTGACAAGGTACAGCCTTGGCGTATACCACTTGCCTGCTTTTTTTGCATAGAGATCTCCCCGTTGACAACAACTTCAAATACTGGAGAGGCAGTGAGGTCCCTAATGGCAGAACACATCCTGGGTGGGATTTTCAATCTTTGGAGAGCCAGGTGAAGGGCAGCAGGTTTGATGGTGTCAAACGCCTTGCTCCAATCCAGGAAGAGAAGGAACAAGGCTTGATTACGTTTGGCGTCTACAAGATCCTGCAACCTCCTAATGAGGAAAATCGCCTCGTTGGTGCTACGGCCATGTCTACACCCATATTGATTTTCCCGCAAGAAGGGGTCCAGGCCAGCCGATAACCTGGCTGCTAGAATCCTAGCATACAACTTGTAGCAAGTCTGCAAAAGACTGATGGGGCGGTAATTCGCTGGGTCACTGCTAGAACCTTTTTTAAAAATGCCTACCACCTGTGCTTGTCGCCAAGAGTCCGGGCTATTGCCTTGAGTCCAACAGCATTGAAAAAGGTCAAGCAAAGCCTCTAAGCCTGGTCCAGATAGGTGTTTCCAAAATTCATTGGGAATACCGTCCTTGCCCGCAGCTTTACCAATTTTGAGATGTTTAATGGCATCGACAAGTTCGTTCATAGTCAGGGGTCCTTCTTCAACAAGTGGGGTGTGTTCTAAAACATCATCAGTATCAATGTCATCAACTCCCTCATTGGCTGGCGGTGCCCATTGCACCTGTTCCAAGTGCGTAGCGAAGATCTCAGCATTGGAGTCCATCGCCGTTAGGTTACTATGGGTAGATGGGGGCTCCAAACGAACAAGTCTAGATTGGAAAGGGGTTTTCAAACGTTTGATAGGGTCCCAATGTGCGTCCTCAAGCTGACTATTCAACCATGCTTTTTTATCTTGGCGAGCCGACTTCTTAATGCTCTTGTTGTATTTTTCCACGGCCTCAAGATCTCCAGCTTTCCGCGCCTCCCCCCGGGCAGCTATGAGGTCGAGAGTGGCGGGGCTAATCCACTCTTTTCGCGGCTGCTGAACACGTTTTGGAATATGGTCGGTAAGCGCCGCTAAATAGATGTCTCGCAGCTCCTCCCATTTCTGCCCTGGCTCATCATTGGGCTGTTTGCTTGCGAGTTGTGTGCCCACTTGCGTATTCATGTTAATGAGTGTTTCTTCCGTGGCCCGCTTGAAATCCCAACACGGTTTGCGCGCAGATATTTGCCTGGCTCCAAGAGACATTTTGACCTTGGCCAGTATGGGGAAATGGTCGCTGTGGATATTACCAAAAGGGTCAGAAAACACATATTGAACAATGTTTTTCCATCTCTCCGGACATAAACAAAAATCAAGTTGTGCAAAGTCAGAAGGGTCCCATGAAGCAAAATCTGTTGGGAGCCGGGTTGTACCAGGCTCCTTGAATGTCACCTGTTTCGAAGAACTATGTTGGAACCAGGTATTGGAAACTAGGAGCTGGTTCTGGAAACAAAAATCGAGGAAGAAGCTTCGATTGTCGTTTTCACCACCAATGAAAGAAACACCTTTACCAAAGAGGTGGGGTCCTAGGGCAGCCTCATCATGCAATTTACCGTGCAGCCTGGCATTAAAGTCACCCATGATGACAAAAGGCCCTTTAGTTTCCACGCGAGCAACTAGTTGGTTAAGTTCGTCATAAAAAGCGTGTTTCGTGTCCTCTTCATGCTGATTGTGTGGGGCATGTGCAGTGAGAATGGAGAACTCCCCCGCCCCTGTGTTAAAACTCATTCCCGCCGTCCGGCTGCTGGCCGGCAATGTTCGCAGCAGGGCAGCCCTAGCTCTGGGCGACAAAACAAAACCTGTTCCCAAATACTCTTGTTGGTTTGACGGGGCATTACTGAAAGTGTAAAAACAATAGGAACCCACCATGTAATAAGTAGTTTGCCTCGACTTCGTTTCTTGCAAGCACAGAATGTCAATATCTTTCTTTCGCATGTACTGGGTGATTTGGTGGTGCATGGTGCTCTTCAAAAGGGAGCAAGCATTTAGAGATGCGATGTGCATAGTCGTACCATACAAGATTTTGTGCAACAGAGGTGAACGCTTTCTATTGTCAGAATGATCCTCATACATGTTATAGCCCGCATTCTGAGCGTCTTTCAAGGACTGAGAAGCAAGTCGATTGGGGAAGTCGAGGCTACCGTTGCCCAAACGGCGCCTTTCTAGATCCATGTGTTTTGTACCAATGTTGGATTTACACCACCGATACCACCTACGGTGGTAGTTGCGTCTGCTACTTCTGTGTGCTTTCCGGGTGGTTTCTGCAATTTGGGACCTCTTGCCTCTCTTTTTGGTGGACCGAGTGTTTCTTTGTAGCCGCTGGGACGTGCAATTGTTTTTCCTTTTCGCAGAGAAATGGTCGTAAGAAGTGGTCGTATTTTGATCTGGGAATCTTGTGTCCCGCGGTTCGCCCGGCTTACCTTCTGGGCGGTGCTGTGGCAGGTGTGGAGAAATGGTCGTGAAAGAAATGGTCGTTTTTATAGGGTGGGCCTGGTGTGGGTCCTGATATTGTGTGCTTGGTGTTTTGTCCGTTTGTCAACGGCGCTTTCCTCCGCCTTTGGCAGAGTGGGCGCGGAAAGGGGCCTCAGAATCCTCCATGTCAACGTCCTGGTTTTTGGTCACCTTGGCGTTTTTGAGGGCTGCATATCGCGCGTCCAGGTTGTTTTTGACTTCGTCGGTCAGGGCGTAGATCTGGACCTGAAGGTGCTTCTAGGGGCGGCTGTCCTTGCTAGAACCGGGGGCTTTCCATGCCGACCAGTCTTCTTGAAATTTAGTTTCAAACTCTGCTTTCACGTGATCCGGCACATAGAGCTGAACTTTTGTGATGTCCTTGTCGTTGGTGTTCACGGCGAGTAGCCATTCATCATGCCATAGGGCTTGGATCTCCCAGGTCGGGCTGAATTTGGGGTTGTCTCCTATGATGTTGGCCAAGGTCTTCATTGCGCATTTCATCGGGGCATCTTGTTCACGACGGTATCGAGGAATTTGTGGTCTGCCTACAATGGTGTTGCCTTGTACTTGATGGGGGTCCCGTTTGATGTGCTGCAAGAACTCGTTCCTGGCTTCCTTGTCCCACATATCAACTATGGTGAAGTGAGCTAAGCCGTTCTTGGTCTTCAAAGTGGTACTCCCCTGGTACTTGTTCATGAGTCCGTAGTAGTTGGCCATCCGTTTGATTTCCTTCTCCCTTTCTTTTTCGTCAATCTTGGGCCATCCCATCAGGAGAAGCTGTTTGGAGGCTTGTAGTTCTTGATCTCGGTGAACTAGTGATGCTGTTTGGGTTGCAACCCAGTCCACGCTGTTAAGTCTGGCCGTGTTTTCGTGTACTTGTTCTTGGAGTGCTTTGAATGTTTGGGCCTCTAAAAGGATTTCATTGGGCACCTCGTCTTTGCGTTCGAGCGCTGTTTGTCCTATCCCAGCTAGTGGGGATCTGGATCTTTCTGCCATGGGTGGAGAATCAAGGGAAAAAAGGTCGGGTTCCTGCCTATGTTCGGTCCGAAAAGCCTACCATTAATGGTTAATAATTGTTAATAATGGTTAGTAATGGTTAATAATGGTTAATATATGTATGTTGATAAATGATGGTCAATAAGTGATGGTTAATGATGGTTACTGATAGTAATGGGAGTAAAACAATGCCATAAACCACCCATGACTGGGAATGGTGAACATACCACCTATTTATGGTGAAAGTGGGGATTGTTTATTTTTGCTTCACCAACATTAGTATATAATGTTATTTTGGTGATACCCCATATTATAGTACTAGTAATAGTATTATCATATAGTAGTTGATTGGCAATAATGGTAATAATTTAATTAATGGTAATTAGTCGGAGCTACCAAGAAATTGTCCACCTTAGTTCCCCAAAAGAAACAGTCTTTCATCTCAATGGATTGCATATTCCTCCATCAATGGATTGCAAGAAATCAAGAAATCGACCCACACAATCAAACCATGCACCCACCGGAGGTCTACAGAACACTGCTATTTCATTTGCCGCTCTTCAAGTCTGTCCAGCATCGTCCTTGGGACAATGCATGGATTCGCATTGTCGCGCTGCGAAAACCGCAAGGAAATGAGTACTTGGCTGGTGGAACTGGCTGATTGGGGCAAAGCATTGTGCATGAAGAGTACCCTCTGGTAATTTAACGTAGCTATTGAAAATGGCCATTTATAGTGAGTTTTCCCATTAACAATGGTGATTTTCCATAGCTATGTTAAATTACCAGAGGGTACTTCTAGTGAGCCAGAAACTTGAAGATGTGATGCCATCCATTTTCAGAGAACACCAGTTGGGTAAACCAAGCCGCATGTGGTGACTCTCAGCCTCCACATTGTGGGATCATTTGGAGCCACTCCCATTTCAGAGAGTTCTCCGTTGAATTCATAGTTGGTTGGTTTTTTGGGGATCATCTTCCCACTAAAAAGCGGAGAAAAATCAACAATACCTTCTGGTTATGACTAGCAGTTTGCCATGGTTAAAATCACCATTTTTAATAGGTAAACCAGCTATAAATTGGCAATTTTCCAACCAGAGCCATTCGTATTCCCCTTCTTGGAGCTCAACCCCACATTTCCAGCTACGAGTCCGGCGCTTGAAACCTTGAAACCATCAACCAATCTGGTGATACTCCTGGCACGTTCGCCAGTGAGGTCGCTATAATTTACACAGAACTGAGGAGGGTCAAAAACTTTAAAATCATATGTTGTTCATAGGGTGCAGATTCCCAATTCATGCTCCACAAAATAATCAATCAACCGACCATCATTTATCAATGACTATCCCCAATATGTTTGATCGTCTTTGCTCAGTAATTGGACTATATTATATCCACAGTTTATCCACATGTTTGATGGTGAAAACCCGAATTTAATGGTCAAAACAAAGTCATGGATCAGGATGTTTGAAAAAAAAAACCTAAATGTCCACAATTTGTTTGTTGGTTCAAACCCTTTTTCTGTGATTAAATAATGTTTTCCAGTTCAAATTTCAATTTCAACGTTGCTTGCGTCTTTGTCTTCTTTAAATCACCACGTTTCATGGTTGAATCCTGAGGGTCAAATCACTTTGACGTAAATTCCATTGTTGTTTCATTAAAGTGCAATCGTTCAGTGACGAAATCACACGTTTGATGGTGAAATCATCATTTCTTGATGGTAAAATCATCTTTATTTGACATTTCTTCTCACAAAATCACCATGTTTTCATGGTGAAATCTCCATTTCTGAAGGTCAACTCCCCGTTTTTCATGCTGAAATCATCATGTTTGATGATAAAATCACATGCTTTACGGTCAAATCCCCATGTCTCACAGTAAAATCCCCATTTTTCACGGTGAACCCCCGGTTCTTCACGGTACACGTCCCGTTGTTCACGGGACCGACCCCGGTCCTTGGCGCGCTGCCGGCGTTGTAGCTTCAGGGAAATTGACTATTTCGCAACTTCTCGACAATTGACAGCCTTGCACGATAATCTCAATTCATCTTTTGCTACGATCGAACATGTGTAACGACCTGGCGGAAGCCATGAAGGCGTTGGACGGAAAAAAACATCGAAGAGAAATTTGCCAAGTTGTTTGTGACTATAGCAGCAGAACTGTGGTTGCGAGGGCGGATTGACACCCTAGAGACAGTTTTTCAGGCTGCGGCCAGAAACTTCACTACTATATTCGGCTAGCCGAAGCATTAGCGAAGTATTTATGCTCGCTGATGAGGCGTCAGCTCTGGCTTCGCTGCTCCGCAACGCGCCGCAAGATCGCCTCCAGCGCCGCTTTGGCGGCGCAGTTGGCTTGGAGAAAGTCCACGTGCTCCACCAAAGCCTTGATCTGCAGGGGAAATATATATAGTAAGTAACCAGCAGATAGAAAATTCAGGATTGCCAGGTCAACAGATAGAATAGGACAATATTTCTATATATATATATATAGTTCTTGTTTATTGTTATTACTATTATTATCAATATGATGTTCATTATTATCAATATTATTCTTATATCCACAAGTGAATAAATATATATATGTACACAATGTGGGGCCCCCAAGCGATAGCCAAGTTGGTGAACATGACTCCAATAACTATGGTTTATGATACTTATAGCTATAGTTCATGGGGGTTATAAACCATCTTATACCTGGGGGGGCCCACATTGTATATCTATAATTTAATCTATATAGTAATTTATTGCTATTATCACTATTATCAACATGATGTATATTATTAATAGTATTATGATTGTCATTATTATTGTTACCATTATCATTATCGTTATTGTTATTGTTATTATTTATATAGATATACATATACACATATAATGTTTGTGAACAACATAACATGTTTCTTAAGTGGTTCTTATGCAAAGGTTGATGGATCTTTTTCGCAAAATCCATGAGTGAAATATATATATATACTGTTTCCTATGCATTGATGGAATGGATCTCTTTGACAAAAAAAATAAACTTCGATAGTCTTGGATGTGTATTGATTCTAGGTTTGCTGATTCTTGTCTAGCTTTTCATCTATGACCAAGAATACGACATATCAAAGCTTTAAGTCCTTCCGGATCCCCCAAATGATGGATTGGCCAATGAGAAAATAACAAATCAATGATTCTTGACCATCTTATTTTGGGATTGACGTGATTTTTGAGAAACCCTCACGGAAAAGTCAGGATTTGTCTGCAATTCTTGGGGAGAATCATCGGTGAATCTAGAGCTGCGAAGATCATCGGTGTGTGTTCCTTTTTTCAGAACGGGAGAATCATCTTTTAATGGAAGTTGTTCAGGGGAAACTCTATTCTTAGCCATATAGATTTGAAAAGAAACTATCATGTGGTAAAACCCAATGCAATAAACCATCCCCGACATCACTATTTTTGTGGGTTGTTCTTTCAACCATCCCCGAGTCATGGGAGTTGCTTATGGCAGGCTTTACCACAAAATCTACGTGCCCAGGAATCAGACCGGGTGAACAAACCTATTTACCAACCTGAAATCATTCACGAAATCCTGTGAAAATCCCAGAACTGGGGTCAAAAATCTATTAACCATAGCTGAACCCTAGGAATCCGGGGGCTTGATCCTCCAGGAAACTAGTTCGATACATAACTGGCTTACCATCTGGTTATGACATTGCCAGTTCGCCATGGTATAGATGGCCCATAGAAATAGTTGGTTTATAACTATAATAACCATAGTGTATGATACTTATAGTCATATTTACCATCTGGCTATGACTAACATAGCTATGGAAAATCCCCAAAATAAATGCAGGAGCAAATAGATGGGAAAATCATCTATTTCTATGGGCCATCTATACCATGGCTATGTTAAATAACTAGAGGCTATCAACATCACCCTAGTTAGAGACTCCCCAGTTTCTACCCATAACTGGTAAACGTTCACAGTTCGCGAACTGGAAAATCACCATCTTTAAGTTCGGTAAATCAACTATAAATGGGGAATGTTCAATAGCAAACTGTTAAATCCCCAGTTTCAAAGCGTAACCAAGTGGGGTTTTGCTACCCAAGCGCCACCATGTTGAACATTGGCACCACCTGCCGCTCATGAAGTTCATCGGGCTCCGCCTCATAGACCTGGCATTTCTGGGAGATGTCATGGCAGTAAGACGGCAAAAAATTGGGAAGCTGGAGAATTATTCATGATACCCTCTGGTAAACATACAAAAAACTATGGAAAATCACCATGTTCACTGGGTAAATCCAATATAAATGGTAATTTTCAATAGCTATGTTAGTTTTACCAGAGGGTAATCTATGAAGTTGGGATGTAAGCTGAATATCTATGATGATATGATGTGTGTTTTAAGCATCAAAAAAAGGAGTTGAGCATCAAAAATTGGGAGATAACTATCAAACAATGAGGAGTTACAACATGTTATAATCTTGAAACATGGGGAATTTTGGTTGGGCGACGTCCAACCCCTCAAAAAAAAACCGGCCGCCGGAAATCAACGGCAAAATCCCCCTGGGCAAAATCTGTCAATCCCTATCCAATCCCCAAAACAGTACAAAAATTGGAGCTTTGCGGCTACAATCCATCCAGTTTTTTTGAAAAACGTACCCTCTGGTAATTCCATAAACTATTTCGTACATAGCTATGGAAACTGGCCCATGTTTTTTCATAAACATAAGTATGATTTACCTATTAAACACTATGATTTTCCAGTTTGCTACGTGAGTCAGTCATAAGCATCAACTACCATCAACAAAACAAGACCTGCCTGAATGCGATCCGCGGTGAAATCCGGTTCACCCCTGCTGGCATAGTACTCCGCAAAGGGCTTCAAGGTCTCCGCAGTGCCCACGGCAACCTCCATGACCCCGCGGTCGATGAGGTTCCCCAGGGTGCACAAGAACTCGGTGAGGTAGATGCCTGGTGAGATGGAGACCCCAACAAAATGTGAGTTGTAGATGTATAGAACCTCCAGTTGTTAGATGTTGTTAGATCCGTTTCTTTATATGGATATATATATATATACATAAAATATCATACAATATGACAATATGTATCTATTTCTGAATGATTTATGTATTGTTCCATATCTGCTTTCCGTAGAATGTTTGCTGTATATCAACATCGACATGGAAAAGCCACGGACCGTGTCACCATCTTGGGATGATCATCTAGTCTTGGCCCATCCATTAAGTTCAATGATTTACCATGATTTAGCTTTAAAAGAACGGGTGATTTGCGATCGCTGTGTGAATTTGCAAGAGGCTACAGTATGAATGACAGCGCACACTGGAGTTACGAGAACACCAAAGTGATACTGTACCCTCCCATGGACAAATGCCAACAAAACCTCCAATGTTTCACCAATAAATTACATGTTTTCCACAAAATCTGCTGGGTTTTTGATGGTGTCCCCATATTTCCCCATTTTCCCATCGGTTTCTCCGATTTCTCCAACCCCAAAGTATTCCAAGTCGTCCACCTGGCGATGCGGCTTCCTCTTCATCTGGCGGAGTCGAAGGATCCAACAGAAACCTCAACAGCTCCGTCATGGCATCGATGTCGAAGAGCTGCGTTAGCGTCTCACTGTGCCACGAGGACAGGGCATCACGGAGGAAGCTCAGGAACTCCTGCAGGGCGTGGCTTTTTCGATGTTTTTCAATCATCAATAGTTGCTGATTTGGTGATTCTTGGAAACATCTACAAACAAACTACTTGCTGATGCTTAGTAATGGGGGAATGAACTGTGCTAGAAAAAACAATCATTCCAGTCCCCCATTCCCTACTAAGCACCACTAAGACTAAGCGGGTATATCATATATCCACATATATCCACATTAAGGGAAACAACACAAAATGCTGTATATAGAACTTCAGGTCTTCAGGGTTCTGGGCTATCTCTTGGGCTACCCGTTCTTAGTAGGCTTCAAGCCATGAACTGAAAAGCCGTGCTTCGTCACTTTCCCCATTACAAAAGCATCCCGCGAATTTTCGGACACCCATTTCTGGAGATGTCTGGAGGATATCGCATGAAAATTCGCTGGTTCTACCATTTTAGTTGTTTGATCACTATAATCCCCTTGTAATGTGCCATTCTCTTTCTTTCAAACTTAGAGCCCCCATTCCCTGACCCCAAATCTAATATTTAGACTTTCAGTTTTCCCTTCATAGTCAAATTTCTCAGATTTTCCCAGATCCAGTTCCAGGCTTTCCCAGGTGGTTCCTGACTTCCCGTCCTCGCCCACGTTGCCTTCCGCTTTTCGCACCTCATCCATCAGCACCAGCGCCAGCAGCGCATCTCTCGGCAGCGCTGTCGGGGCTTCCAGCAGTTCCTCCTCATCCAGCTGCCACCAGGGCCCGGTCAGGCGGTCCTGGTCTCAAGCGATGGTGACACCGCAAAGATACCAGAAACATTGGGGAAAATCTTGGATTTTTATAGGGAAAAGATGGCAACAACATGGACAATTCATGAAAATCCATCAATGGAATATCATGGGAATACGATGAGATATACAACCAACCATAAAAATGATATTTAAGGCTCGATAAAACATGGATCTTCAAAAATTGTATCTATATATAAATAAGTTGCTATGAATTGTATTTTATCGTTTTGAGATGATGCCAAGTGATTTCTGACATCAAAGAACTGGCAAGTTGGATCACCAGCAGGCTGGGACTTCACAGCCGCCCTATGGAAATTCGAGTTGTGATGTTCGACGAAGTGTCAGTACTTGGAGGATCATCCTACATAGTAAGTGATTGTATAATGACCCTGGGACTGGGATTACCCCTATAGATACATATATATATATAATATATACATATATATAATATATATAATATAATATATAGTATATATAATATAATATATATAATATAATATATATATATAATATAATATATATAATATAATATAATATAATATAATATAATATAATATAATATAATATGATATAATATAATATAATATAATATAATATAATATAATATAATATAATATAATATATATATATATATATATATGTGTGTGTCTGTGTGTAAAATTATATAATATGTATAACTGGGTTCTAAATATGAGAATGAACCATTGACTGAGTGGGATGATCCAAGTACTCATAATCACTGATTTTGAGATATGTTGAGTCCAGGGGAGTCCTCAAAGGACCAATTACTCCCAGACCATTCAACAACTGAAAGTGGAATTTTCCGGATTCAATGAACAACGACCTGCGAAATATGCCTGAAATGCCACTGAAATTGTGAGAGATTTCCATGGTGGATAAACTCCTCATCATAACTCTCAAACGAATCATCTGTGGTGGTTTTTGGGGTACAGATCATCCACAGATTTGGAGTTTGGGGTAATGTATGTTGCGAAACGTCCCCACAATAAGGTTCAGACGGATGAATCTTCCAAATATGGCAAATTCAAATAAAATCCAAAGGAAAAACCTACATCCCATATGCTCCATGTGCGGTATGCTGTCATTTCCCCTAAGATAGCATCAAATGTAATAAAATGTAGCTAAATGATGCTGTATAATATATATATATATATTATTGTCTATATAATTCTCTATATTCTACATGGAGCATATGGAGAACCAGCATCCAGCATCAGATCCCGTGAGAGGAACTTCGTAGGTCAGAGCCTTTGACTTCTTGCGAGCGCGCCCGACCGAATGGTAGGCTTTGGGGGCTGTCAGGTAGAACATTCCTTAGCGGTGGCCCCATCAGCCAACCGAGGTTACCACCCAGCATACCCATAAAACCACCCCAACTGCACCACCGTCATGCCATTTCTATGCCCATCCAATTTTTAGCATTTCCAAATTTGCGGAAATCCCCATGTTGACTGCTGAATCCCCAAATTAATCTGTCATCCCAATTAATACCAGCCCTGCCCTGCATGAGAATCTGCATCTATTCATGAATCACCCCAAAAAACAACTCATCAAGCACCAGCCCAAAACAGCCCCAAAACTGCCACAATGAGTTTGCCAATCCCATGCCGAACTTCGCACACCGAGGAGGTACCACATCACGAAGTCCGGCCGCTCATAACTTTGGTAGGTCTTTGCCCACTTGAGGCACTCCAGTTCTTGGCGATACTCCAAAGTCCAAACTGCTGCGAGGCGTTCCAGTTGCCTGGAGATTTTCAACAGAAGGGCATGACCACTGAGAATTTACCAAGAAGAAATTGGAAGATTTTGCAGCAAAAACTGGGGCGACCATATAAAGTCGTGGAAAAACATTGCAAAAAACGATTGATGTTATGGTTCATGTTTCACTATTAACCATGCTCATATGCTCCGTTTATATGCATGTGCGTGACTTTTGGTATAATGGTAACTATTCCAGACATGGAGAAGTTGCGATGGGGATTCGAAGGGAAATGAATTTCGTAGAAGTCGAGGATATAGTTCTGCAGTTCTGTTTGGTTTATATGATTGGCATAGTGATAGTGGTTGAAAGAACAAGCACACAAGAAAATTGAAGGTAGTAGGGGCATATCTTTTTTTCAGTGCTTTAAGAAGTTGCCAAAAATATGAAAAATTGACCGGTTGAAGGAACCAAATGTTGGGGCCGAAGGATGAAACGTGGAAGACAATTCTCACTGCTGATCCCAAATATCCCAGGATCCCACTATTGGGTGTAATCCCCCGTGGTTGGACACACCCATTCACATAAAAAAATGTTGAGTGGTGTTGAGTGAATCCCCTTGCGTTTTTTGGCAATGAAAGACTGTCATAAATTCCAAAAATGACATGTCGAAGTTGAGATACCCTCACTGTGTTTACAAAGAGACATCGACTCACCCAGAGCGTTCTCCCCCACACCCCGGCATCGAATGCCATCGAATCTTGTGCCGCCTCTGACACTCTGCAGGCTGCCTCGGTGCGGGCGCATACTTCAGAAAGCCCTCCGCAAAGGGCAGCCGCTCGCAGGCCGCCTTTCGATCCGCCATGGGGTCGTTGCGGGTCTCCAAGTTCCAGGCCGGTTTCGACGTTGGCTTGGGATTTCGCCTCGACGTCAATCTGGATTTGTCCCACAAACAAGTTGATGACGCAATGTTATTGAATCATAAGACATCCAAACTAAATGAATTGATAGGTCAATAAATTGGATTTGACTCCCTGACACATCCATAGATCAATCTGGATATTTAAATCATACTATCTGTTGATTGATGATCACATCTACTGCCCATCACTCGGCTGTTTTCGGCAATAGCATCGAGCCAGGCTTGCCAGGTGCCAACATGTACGGCACCCTTTGAAGGGATTTTTTTGGGGGATTTCAGGGGTATAATCCCCATCTAACAGATTAAACCAGTTAAGTCGGCAAGTCACATCAGAATGCTTACTCTATAACCAACAAAATATTACCGACTATGTTTTGATTAGCCAGTTCCCCATCTTCATTTGTATTTAGCACCATTTATTTTGGGAGTCCAAGAATTTTGAGCAGTATACCTGTCGTTGACATCGGCTGCAATCTCTGATGTTCACCAAAGGGTGAATTGTTGGTACCGTTCAAGCTCTTACCAATATGTTACTGATATGTTGGGCTCCAAGGTGCACAAAAGATATTCACAAGTGGCAAGTGGTAACAAGAAGCATTTCAGCTGATATTGCTTCCCACGACACTTCACAACATTTACATATATGATAATATGGTTATTGTCGCCCGAAATCTGATATCTAAGAATCCAGGTAGGATTCTAAAAAACGTATCACAACCAATCAACCATCAATCAACGATCATCCATCCATGATATCCCCAGATCTTTAGTGGCGATTTCACCCAAACTTGGTTGAATCCCTACTGCATAATCCATCAACCATCATCTGCCACCTATATCCCCATATATTTGACAGATAAAACTGCATAATTCATAAACCACCCGTAATTTATGTTCAAGTCCCAGTGAAATCCTACATTCTTTGGGTTGGTTTAAGGGAACATTTAAAGGAAACCTCTATATTTTATGGTAAGAACCATGGTTTCCTGTATATGTTCCCTTAAAACAATCGAATGAGAGTTGGTTCCCCATGATATTCCCATGATATATCTATTTTTGTTGGTTGAAACCCCATCTTTGTCCAATCATTGCTTTTCTAAAAGGAGATATCTTTGGGAACCCAATGTTTACGTCGCGTGTTTTTTTCACCTCCTCGTTGTGACAGCGTGCCAAGCCAAAAGGGCTCGTTGCCCCTGGCAGTGGGGACGCTTCCTGAATGGATGGGAATCCATATATAATTCCATATGGATATTAATGATACAGGTGTATATATATATATACGTATATATATATATATATATACCTAAGCAATTAGGATGGCACATATTTCATACACATATGGGTGTGTCTACATTGTCTACATACATCTAATATACGGGTACGTCTGGCTCCCTTCCAACACGCAACTCATTCTTTGGTCTGGAAAATATGCCTCCATTTTCACATTGCAATGCTTTATGTTCAGCCATTTTACCAAGTACTTGTCTACAGTATACAAGTGAGCTGTTTTCAAAAACCACTGCCATCCCTATCTGCGCTGTATTCGATTGATGGAATTCCAAGTTCATGGGTCGGTGCATACCCCAGAAACCAGGTAGATAAATCACCCCCCACACCAATCAGACTTCAGCAGTTTCGCAAAAAAATCGGGCATCAAAGCAACCAAAAAAACCTTTAGTCACTCTAGTCGAGGAAAACAACGGCGAAATCTCATGGTCAAAAATTGTGATAAAACTGCGAATCTGACCCGGGAAAAATGAAAAAACGGATGCTTAAGCCACAACAAACCACTCATGCAACAATTTATGATGGGATCATTAGCTAGGAAAAACAAGACTCATGTGCATTTCAACAATAGGAACCCTGATTTTCCAGCCATGTCAGCCCACCACAAGCTAGATTTGAATGTGTTAGGGCCTATCCAATGATTGACGAAAACATATGTTCTTCATGATAGTCCCCATAAAGAAATACCCTCTGGTAATTTGTTACAGTTCGCTATTGAAAATGACCCCAGTCGAAATAGTGGATTTACCCAGCTATAAAATGGTGGATCGTTCCATCGTTTTTTGTATGTTTACCAGAGGGTACAATGAACTATTTATATGCCCACCAACCTATGGGGTTGTCTCAAAACAGGATAGCCACACTTCCAATGAATCAGCATCATGTCCGTCCCCGTGGTTTCCCTATCAAATTCATGATTCCCCGTATGGATGGTCCCATGGTTTCCTCCGTTCAAAAATATATCCCATTGCATCCCGATGAATTATATCTCCAGTGTCATGAAATCACAACATCAAACCATATACATGACTTCAGTTGTGGTTGCTAATCACATTTTATACCATTAAACCACACTATGTCACTATGTAATCCTGTGACATAATCCCATCCAAAACTCCCATAAGTTTGATTCATTTCATCCCAGCCCTTTCCCCCACCAGCATATTCGATTGCTTCGA